GGGGCAAAAACAGTGTTTGGCGGCTTGTGCCCGCAATAGCAAGGTGCGTATTACGCCCCAATCAGATCCTTTGGCAAAAACGTCCAAACTGTCCCAACCGAGCCGAAAATGGAGAAAACGATGAGGAGCGAGAACAACACGAGCCGCTCCGAAGGCGACGTTTCTTGCCAGTACAACTTCAGATAGAAGGATATCGGGAGGATGATGGAGATAGCTGTGCAGAGCGCTGCGCCGAGGAAAGCACAGACCGAGTCAAAGGCGGGGAAGACAATTGATATGAAGAGCAGAATGATGACCACGCTGACACGGATGACACCGCGGATTCCGCTTTTCACCAGCTCTCCGCGATGATTGCCCGTGCTGTCTTGGTGTTCGTGATGGTGGTGATGGTGATGCTCATGTACGCCGCAGAGTACGTCTGCCGTGGTGACCAGAGGCCGGGCGTTGAGGGGAATCTTGGTAAGTGGGATAATGGCAACGAAAATGCACATGGTGATAGCCAGGGCCTTTGGATAGCCTTCGCTCTTCAGAATGTTGGACGTAATGGCATCAGTGATGCCATCACCAAACATGAGAATGCCAATTACGCCAAGACACATATCCAAGGCGTACTGTTAGTACAAGACCCAGATACGAATGTCAGTAAACGGACTCCATAAAAGTGCAAGGATTGTTTCCCAGGGCTTCACTGACAGAAAAAGAAAATGTGACCTTGACGGCCTTGCCCCATTTGGCGGGGTGGCGCATATCCCTATAGATCTAAAAAAGGAAGAATATGGCCCACGTAAGTAGATGTTCATCTCGGTAACCTTAGAATAGCTCTCGCCAAATATGGCTCAACTTACCGAGGGAAAAATAGAATGCGCACCCCAAGGACTGGCCATCAGACCATAGGCTAGGGGTAACGCAAGCCAGTTTGATGGCAGTAGGTAAGTAGCGGCTGGGTCTCGTAAAGACCCGGGAGTCTCCGTCTTAACCAGGCCGTCTACTATAACGATGCAGACAACTGTAGTAGAAAGCGGTTAGCATCCATTCTCACGTGCTACATCCACAGAGACACGAGTTCAGTTCGGCAGAGGGCATCTCTTACTTCCAAAGGTGGAGAAGATGCCAACAATACTTGTGTAACTCAAGAAGCGCAGGGGGAGCGCATTCAGCACCAAGATGAGGACTGCACAAAGACACTTCCAACTATTGACGGTCGCCAATCCAGGTAACAGCAGATCGAGAGAGTCAGCGAACAAGATCATCAAGGCCACACAGGCAGCAACGAGCTCCAAGGAGAACATGACTGATACAACCATGCGTGCACGGGTGCCAAACGACACAAATGCTAGGTCTGAGTAGGTGATGAGGCCAGGATCATAGTCCATGCACTTCGCTAGCAGCTTGCCGGTGTAACCAGTCACACATGCGCATAGAGTCATGAGTGCGAGTCCGAAAATCCAGCCGCTAAGTTTGAAGGCCAATGGTAAACTCAGGATGCCCACCCCAATAATGGCGTTGATGGAGTTGAAAACCGACTGGGGGAGCGTGCTCTGGCCTTCGACAGCAAGTACAACGTGGGATCCCTGTTTAACCTCTTTGACGAGGATCGGTTCATGCTCGCCATGGGCGGCGTCCTCATCGTCCTCTTCTTCCACCCAGCCTGCTGCAGGGTCAAGCGAAAGTCGCCGCGGTTGCAACGATTCTCTACCAATAGTCCCATACATAGAGCTGCGATAAGAATCATAGCTCCCGATAATGGACGAGGTTGACAGATACGGGGGGTTGCCAAATATGCTGGATCGGCCAGACGGCGAAGAGCCGAGCAATGCGCCGCTAGCCATCTCGGTATCAAGAGGCTTTCCCTCTCGAGACCTGAAGTCTTCTCGGGAGTGTTCGAGCGCGGTAGAAGGACTCAAGTGATTTTCCCCAATCTCTCTCAAGGCATTGGATGATGAGGCGTCACCCGCCGAGTGTTCTTGGTACGAGGCTTCGAGGTGCTGCCGTAATAAGCTGGTGGTAGGGCGGGCTTCGCGATCCTCAACATGACTCCTTCCATATTGAATATCGTCAGAGTCGGCATCCTCAATTGCGGTACCATCGCCCGCGTATATGAAACTAGGTCGGCGGGGAATGACTTCGGGAAATCCAGCTGCGCGCTGCCAGCTACGAGCAAAGGATCGAAAACTGTTCACCCCACCAATGTCGGCCACAGCAGCAAGTCGGTTCGAGAACGAGCCACTGGGTTGCTAGGTTAGCCTGGAAAAGTTCAAGAGCGCGGGAATTGGAGAAGTTCGTACCGTCGGTGCTCATCATGGTTGTCATCGTCCAACAGGCCATGCATTTCGGAGTGCAAGCCACTGGACGCAGCACTGCCAGACGGGGAGGGCCGTCCATCGTATTCGTCCCATGTCGCGGGATTCTTGATATTGGAAACCATCACTCTATCCTTCCTCAGCGCGCGAACGAGAGACGCGTTTCCTTAGCCCAGTGAGAGAGTGCAGGGCCAATTCAGCGTCGAGCAAATGCAAAGAAGACGAGCAGCTTCGGAGCTTGCCCGGCACAATAGATAAGAACGCCACCCGAGGTCACGAGAGTCGAGGCACAAGGGTCGACCTAGTCTGCAGTATCGATCGACCTTGCCAGCAGGATGAGGAGCCGGTGGATAACCCGATTGCAGACTGGGAGGGGGAAAGGAGCGGGGGGCAAGATAAGGGCTACAGTCCAGCACAGACCCAAATTCTTGATTTCTGTAGTGGTGTTGAAAGGCAGGCTCTCTCAAATCCATGCCGCCATTGCCATGGTAAATATGAATATAGCCTAAGGGCTGGCCAGGACAGAACGTTGGCGTGAACTGCCGTCCTGGGGCAGGCCTGTCTCTGGATGGGCGATGGCGGGTGGATAAGTATGATGCACTTAGTGCTCGATATTACCAAGTTTGTCAGGATTAAGGTATGATTATCTGGGCCCATCCAGCATCATCATACATTAGGGAGGCAGTACACACGAGCTTGGCAGCGCTGCGTGCAGGTGGGGCGCAGGGCCTGCTGCCACAGTCCAGGTGTGACCTGCTTCTCTGGTGCACTAATGTGAGTGCTCTACAAGTGGTCGTTGGCGGTGTCGTTCGCATCGACGTGGTGTTTGTCTTGTGTACCTGTCGTTCAGCCCAAAACTCATCTCACAATTATGCCATTTCCCACCAGAAGCTATAGCTCGCTCATTTTCTCTGTCTCTCTTACCCGCCTACCTAGTCAACATCCTCTACAATGACCTCCAGAGAGTCAAAGTTCGTTGGCTTGTTCCCCAGCAACCCACCCAATGCCAATCATCATGAGTAAGCAAAGCACGAACTCCAACCCACCTAACCTAGATCAGGCCAAGCACCATTAGTACCGAGGTGGGTGCAGCTTATCACCGCCCTGGGGATATCCACCAACGTCCAAACTGGCAGAAAATCCCACCTTTTCTCCAAGTGCCGATGAATACCGATATCTAGGCTTAGCATCCTACTCTCGCGTCCTATTTTCGCTCCCGCCATGATAATCCGACCTCCAATATGAACCTTTCGTCGCCGGCCGTCGCAAGGACGACACCGACCGGCGAATCCATCCCCGACACCGTCGCCCACCTGCGCGCTCTTCTCGACGCCTTCAACCACCGACACAAGAACCAGCACCACTCCTCCCACTGGTGGTCGCACTTCTCCCGCCTCCGGCGCAGTCTCTGCTCGCTCCTGGACAGGGACGGGAACCCTTCCTCTTCACATGCGCGATGGCTCCAGTCTCACGTCCTGCCTCGATCATACAAGTAAGTATCCCTCCTGTTAGGATGCCTTCCCAGATCTTTATTCGCCTCCCCAAAATGATTCCGTCTCTCGTGAACATCACCCCCACCCTGATGCTGTCTTTCCGAGAGAATTACGTCCTCATTCTGTTTAGGGCATTCTCCCAGCTAGCTGCCGATAATCAACATGCTCCCCTGGGTCTCCTCCTCCTCACGGTTCTCGCTCGCGTCCATGCCCTCTTGACGTATATCCTCCCCGCAGAGGAACAGGCTCCCGCCCTCAGTTCCATCCAGCAAGCCCTGCCCAGAGTTGCGCCAGACCATGTATCAAAGGTGGACAAAGGAATCACTGTAGCGCGCGATTCTAGAAAGAACACGAGAGCTGAATCATTAACGGTCTCGTCAAAGTCGTTGGATAAGCCCAGTCGCCCGAAGTTGGCCGCAGAGGAGAAGAAGAGCAGTAAAAAGAGTAAAAAGAAGAAGAGAGACGAGCTATCGAGCCTTTTTGGCTCCTTGACGTAGGTATAAAAATATCAATTACACATAATAATAGCCAACTCGCCCATTTCCATCGCAGCTATACTGTTTTTCAATTTCTAACTAAAATCGAGAGCGTGTGACAAATATGAAAATCAGGCAAGACGATTTTGTCAGCAACTTCCAAATTTGCTTCTTTTGCCTGTGACCCCAGCCCCATCACTCAAAAAGACATAATCGTTATTCACTAGCTCTCCCATTCATGCGCCCATATTGAGAAAATCTGCTTCCTTTGCAGATGAGCAAAAGGCTTGACCTCCATCCGCATAAGCTGATCCAGCTAAACCAATTGCTCCATACATTCCAAATCCAAGTGCCACAGAGTAAGCAATATTACAAGACAGAGATGACGCCACAGTCAGTCTCAAACAAAGACCCAATTTTGCCGGTCAAACGGCTTGTCCTTGCTCAGTTGTGAAGTGGACGGTAGGACCAGATACGGGCCTTCATGTCACCGGAACCAGTAGCAAAGAAGCCACCCGAGGGGCTAGGTGCCACAGAGATGACCGAGTTCTTGTGGCCTTGGAGCATGAGCTGTGTTGTTCCTGTGCGGGGATCCCAGAACTGAACACCACGATCCTTGGATCCAGACAACACCCAGTTGTTGTCAGGAGTGAGCGCAACAGACAGGACAAAGTCACGGTGACCCTCGAAAGTCTTGACGCACTTGCCACTTCGGGCGCCACCACCGCCGCGTGGTGCGCTCAGCTCCCACATCTTGATTGTCCTGTCCAAACTGCCGCTCACAAGCTCCTTGCCACTTGGTGAGAAAGCAACAGAGTACACGGAGTCCTTGTGTCCGTCTGGGCCTTCCAGGCGCTCAACAAGCACAGCATCTGGGATGCTCCATACCCTGACACTCTTATCAAGGGATCCCGCCGCAACATACTGGGTATCTGGTGAGATCGCAACAGTGGTGACACCGTCCTCAATGGTCAAGGTGAGAGTATTTTGACCTTGCTCGATGTCCCACAGACGAACTGTTCGGTCACCACTTCCAGAAGCAATAGTGCGGCCATCTCTTGCGAAATCCAGAGAGTAAATATCTTGTTCGTGACCGCTGAACTGGTTGCGAATCGTCCTGTTCTGGATGTCCCAGACCTACTTCTGTGTCAGCAATGTACAAGCAAACAATGCACTCAGACCAACTTACTCGAATCATCTTATCCTCAGCACCAGTAGCGAGATAGCGGCCATCCGGACTGAAGCAAACGCTGCGAATGTATAAATCGGTACCACCCATCGGGTCCATGGCAGTGTGGTCCTCCAAAACGCAAACCTTTTCACCACTCGCAACATCGTAAATTTGAGCCGACCTGTTGCAACCAGTGGCAACATATTTGCCGTCGTGGCTGAATCTCACACAGCAAACAACGCTATCGTGTGTAAGAGAGTGGACCAGATCGACATCGAGAACTCTCTGGACTTGCGGGTTGAAAATAGCGTGCCAGTCGGCTCCGTTCTTCTTATTGTGAGGGGGAACTGCATCAAGCTCCAGCTCACCAAGAGCATTACCAACAGATGGAGGGGGTCTTGGCCCACCAATGCGATGTTCGGGGGTGGGGTGGCTGATCTGAGGAGACTGCGCACTGCCAGGGTAAGGAACGGGAGTATTAACCTGTGGTGTCGCGGGGCCTCCAACTGAGTTCGGAGGTCGCCCAATTCCCCGGCCTCGAGGTCCAGGAGACGCGGTGCTCTGTGTTGGCTGGGGGCCGCCCATTCCGTTGGAAACTGGGCCAGGAGGATACTGAGGATAAGGACCCTGCTGAGGCTGCGGGGGTTGAGCAGAAGAGTGTGGAGGAGGGACGGGGAGGCCTGGAGGGCCTTGGCCCATTTGGTGCTGAGGCCCAAGTTGCTCATGAGGGGGGCCATGCTGCGGCTGCTGTTGCTGCTGAGGTTGTTGCGGTTGGGGAGGGGCGAGTCCAGCTTGGTTGCCGCCAGCCATGACGCCGCTAAATAGACCGTTTCCTGGTGCGATTGAAGGAGGCTGTTGGGAAGGGCCACCATGCTGGGGAGGGCCTGGAAGAGGCTGGCCGGCACCGGCCTTGCCTCGGGTCGCCTCCGCGAGTTGGTGTCGGAGCATGGTAAGCTCCTCCTCGTACCTATGAGAGTGTCAGTCTATCAGAAAATTGCAAGGGAATCAATCGTCAGCAAAGCTCACTTTTGTTTTAAAGTCATATGCGTCTGTTCCATCGCGTAAACCTTTTCTCTGACGAGCTGCATCTCGCTCACTTGAGCACTGACTATCGGGAGCGAGTTAGTGGAAGGGTCGATTATACAATCCTGTGCGATGCGGAAAGCTTACTCTGATGCTCAAATCCCTCGGTCTGGCGCAACTGACTGTCAAATTCGGTCCTGATCTGATCGAGAAGCTCGTTTAGACGAGCGGAATTGCTGGGGGGCACGGCCCCCATGCCGCGATGGCTGTACATGGACATGAGTGCAAGCTATGTGCTAAAGGATATGCGTTGATGGTTGAAAAGACGCCAGCAGAAACACACGTGTCGTGTCGGCACTCAAAGTCGATGATGTGAAGAGCAGCAAGCACGCGTGGTGGGTCGGCGGCCGTTGGCGTTGAGGCGTGAGCGACACGGGATGACTTTGCTGCGCCAAAGCGATATCAGATCAAGTCAACTGAAGAAGACACGGGCGCCGGCGAGAAATTCGCCGGTTGACCGTCGAGTCTTGCGAAAGCTAAGTAAACGTGTACGATCGACGAGGAGGAGGCTATCGACGGTGGGGGTCGGGCGTGACGAATGGGCTCAGCTTGTGGATGGGAAGGGGGAAAGGAGGAAAAAAAGATGATGGCGGCGAGGCGCTGGGCTGGGAGTGATGGATGGGATAGTGGAGCAGAGGAAGCGAGCCCGATTGCATGCACCTTCTTTGCTGTGGGCCGGTGTGATGTGTGTGAAACCCAAAGTTCCGGCAGGACGCAGGGTACCTACGGCATCAGGAAAGCTACATTGTGGGCTGGGAAAAGAGACCAGGGTTAAACGCCCGAGGCCAGGGGCATGGCTGCTGACTAGCCGCTCTCTCGCCCATTCCCGCGGGCTTGCAGCGCTATGTGGGCGCTTTCCAGAAGGGCTAAGCTGAGAATTGCCACGGCGGCTGGTGGTGGGGCTCTTGCATTGCAGAACCTCATCAAGTATCTGCACGGGTGCAGCAGGTATCTGATGGGGAAGCGACTACATGTGGGTGGGCCGACCCTGGACTCTCCCGTGGCCTGTGCGTTTCTAAGGGCACTAAGGTGGCTCGACCTGCACCTTGTGCCCATCCTGGCTCCTGCTGCTGAATGTGCACCTCCATATCCTCAGCTCTGCCATGACTTCGCCGGCTTCCATTGGTAGGCAAGCTGGCCATGACAGAACACAAGGTAGGATCCGGTGGTCGGAAGCTTACTGCAGCTCCTCAGAGGTCAGCTACCTACCTAGTCAATGCTGAGCCCGGTCCAGGTTCTGTTAACCCCGTCAACACCATGGAATTTCTCGACCTCCCAACAGAGATTACCTGGGCGGCAACAGAGGCGCCCAGATATTGCAAGGTATTCTTTCCTGAGCATCGTCCTGGTAGGCTTCGGCGTAGCTGCTAGGCGTGTTGTGTGCCTGGGCAGGCCTGTAATACCGAGTAATAGGAGCGGCACTATTATGAACAGGATTGGCGGTTCGTGTAGCTATGACCACGACACTCGGTCCGCAGTATTATTCCAACGCCAAGTGGTACGGGAGCGAACAAATAACACTACGATAGTACCATGGCGCACCACCAGGCAATTACCGGGTGGTCCTCCCAGCATCCTCTTCGGCAGCGCCACCCCTCCCTGCCTTACACACCTCCTGCCTCTGAGAGACTGCGCCGGTTTTTATTGCCTCGCCCCTTGTCGCACACACCCCGTCAGGATGTCGCGCACACCACACCACCACTCGCGCTCTTTCCCCAGCCAGCCCACCCCCCACTTACACAAATCTGAGAATCTTACACCTATAATAGAGCAGATTGCCAAGCACCACAGCTGCGTCGTGCTCAAGTTGTCGAGTGGCCTGCTTCCGAACTTCCAACACTACCTCTCCGAAAGGTGGCATGCACACTCTGCCTGACCCATGCCCCGCCCTTGATTAACTTGGCTCGAGTCGCGCACTACCGCCAGTAACAGACAGGTTTTTTATTTATACTTTCCGGTGTCGTGATTCCGGGCAAGCTAGCCTTAAATAGCCAGCGTTGGCTGCGTACGCAAAGTTGCTTCAAAGTGCAATTGTACCTAATGACGAGTCAATTTCGTTGGTCACGCGTCCCATTGCGGATCATTAGCAGAAATTCAATTGCATCTTGATGGCAGGATAACTCGATATGAGCTAGGTGCATGTACCGGCCTAGACTGGTCACCACCGAGGGTGGCTGATTCAGACCATTCAACCCGAGGCAATTCCCCACCAACTACAACCAAAACAACTCGAGGAAGACACAAATTCAGTTATTGCACGCATCTTTCTTTTCTTCCTTTCACGCTGTCCTCTCTTCTCTTGTGTGATGCCGGTGCTTTAGCTATCGCCATCTCACCCTTGTTTGCCTCTGTCCCGGGTCTTGTTTACAGAATCCGCACATTCAGACTGAGAAACACGGGGGTTAGCGCATATCCCCCTCTATGCAACAACACCCACGCACGTTGCTGGGGCTTAGCTTGTGCTAGTTGAGGACATGGTGGGGCGGGAACAACTGGGGCTTTTTAAAAGCATCCAGGGTTGCCTTGGGTGTCAAGTCGAGACGTGCCGCCTACTATCAGAGATAGTGGTCTTGAATGTCCTTCCTAGTGCTCCATCAGCTTCTAATACTGGCTCGGATTAATATCTGCCCCCATTACTATATCGTCGTCCCCAGAGTAGATATGGGCGGTTCTGGTGTGCTTGAGCAGCACCCGGTCACGTCTGCCTGATGATCTCACAACAATGTGCAATTACATCACAAATGCTGACATGGTACATTAAACCCGACAGACAAAAGACCAAGGAAAGGAAAACAAGTAATAGTTCCCTACGGAAGCTCACGAGGGCCGAGTGCCTCGAATAGTCTAATGAGGGGAAGATGGGTATAGGGTAGCAGGACATCACTCGAGGGACAGATATAGGTATGTTGGGAAAATGCTAATGTTAGCAATGCAAAACTTTGTGGTCGAGTATCTAGTTAGCGATAAAATAGACACCACACGATATCGATAGATGTATGCAACGGGGAGGCGAAAACTCGGGCTTGCGGCAAAATGACAACGCTCACTCGTACGAATAAAACACCTATTACTCGTGCGCCACACCAGCTGGGATGTGGCGCAGTTCTCCAGCCTTACTTGCGTAATAAAAGTAGCGCCAGTTGGGCATCCATCAGTAATCTGGTCGACACGTGAATAGGTAACTCGATCAAGCGAGCCGAAACCTCTTCCTCACTACCTTACCTTCCTTACATTCGACTCTATAGTACTCGACCAAGTCCCACGAGCGACACGTCCCAACCACAGCCTTTGCACACGGCTGTCTCAACTCGAAGCTAGAAGGAGCTGGTCGCGTAACGGCGTAGTGCATTTGCCGACGACCACTGTGGTCCCCACTCGAGCTTCTCCAACTGCCAGGCTAGGTCACGGCCATGATGCGCAGCGCCTTCTCTTGCCCCAAGCCTATCCAACAACGACACCTCGAGAGTACAACAGGATACTAAGCAAACGCACTCCTCGGCCCGGAGCATGGCCTGTTAGTTTTACAAACCACATACAGAATGGCTCAAACACACATGCAATTAGAAGACTGTGGGTTTAAGGAATGATCCCTGCCGAATCGCGCAGCCTTAACTGACAACTCGCTACAGGGCTGGATGACCTATGCGTCCGGTTCATAATCAACCTACCAGAAGAGGACCTGTCCTCGGTAGCACGGATATGTTTCCAAGTCGAAGAGGCCCAATGGTTCTACGAGGATTTCATCCGACCACTGGATCCCAGTCTCCCATCGATGACTCTGCGAACCTTCAGCCTCCGCATCTTCCAACATTGCCCTTTACTCGCCTCCTTCTCAACCGAAAACCATATACAAGCCTTCGAAGAGTTTCTCGAATACAAGACTCGCGTGCCTGTGCGCGGAGCGATTTTGTTGAACCATGAAATGGACTCTACGGTACTCGTGAAGGGGTGGAAGAAGGGCGCAAACTGGAGCTTTCCCCGCGGCAAGATCAACAAGGATGAAGATGACCTGGACTGTGCGGTTCGCGAAGTATGGGAAGAGACAGGACTGGACCTCCGAGAAGCTGGACTTGTGCCCACCGAAAAGCCCAAATACATTGAGATTACGATGAGAGAGCAACAGATGCGTCTCTACGTCTTTCGCGACGTGCCTATGGATACGGTGTTTCAGCCTCAAACCAGAAAAGAGATTAGCAAGATCGAGTGGTATAGGCTATCTGAGCTTCCAGCGTTCCGCAAAAAGAAGACGCCGAATGGTCAAGACGCCGGCGCGGGACCGAGTGCGAACAAGTTCTACATGGTCGCCCCGTTCCTCGTCCCTTTGAAAAAATGGGTTGGTTCACAGAAGAAGCTGGAGTCAAGGAAGTTCTCGCATTCGGCCGGAAACACTGGCCTACATCCCCACCACGCCCTCGACGAGGTGTATACTGAGGATGATACTTGGCCTCAACCCGCCCCTGAGGGAATTTTGCAAGCCCATAATAGTCTGGAGGATGCCACCCACGAACTGCAACGCCTTCTCAAAGTGCAGCCCCCTACGCAAGGTCTTCAGGCTGCGTCTGTAACTGAAGATAAAGCTAGCGCGCTCCTCTCAATGCTCCAAGCTGGAGGATCTAACCCTGCGACTTCATCTAGGCCGGGCAGTATGCTGCCGCACACACCTATGAACGCTGGCCCGGAACCCGTTCCTCAACCGCGCAATCCGCATCACCATACCAATCAACACCATACTGCTATCCAACCAGTCGAGCCACCTCCCCCATTCCCTCTCAATCAATACCATCAGGGATCTCACTGGAATACTCCGCAGAACCTGTACCAACAACCATCTTTCGGAAACGCCCAAGCCTCCCTTGTCCACCCACAGCCTTTGCCACCCCAGGTGCAGCGGGCTGTGTTTGACAGGGCAGGATATCAGGAAAACCAACCGCCTCTACATAACAATCTTCCGCAGGCCCAACAAGAGCAAGGTTACACAGTGTCGAGGCAATCATCGTTGAATTTACCTCAAGAATCTGGGAAAGCTGCCCATTTGGATGGTCAATCGATGGCCCTCCTTAACGCGTTTAAGCAAGGAGACCCTGCCCCAGCACTAGTTGAGCAGCTCCCACCAAAACAAAAACCTTTTGATTCCCACGTTCACTCTGGCCAGCCCCCCTACCACCACCAACAACCGGTTTCACATGGGCTGTCCTTCCCTTCAGAGCTTGCGGCCTCGTCCCACAGCTCCTCCCAACATATTCCAGCAGCCAAACCCCCCATAGAACCGCATCGCTCAGCCTTGCTGGGCATGTTCAAGAATCCGGTTTCGGAGACAAATACGAATATGGCTCCGAGACCTTTCCAAGCTTCCCCACTCTCTGGGACAAGGCCTCAGGGAGCTGCGACCGGGATAGAGAAGCAGCTATTAGATGCGTTTCGGGGGATACCCCCAGGACCTGAACTGCCGGCTAAACCAGCACATCCAATTCATAGCCAACCTGCGAATCCAAGTACCGCCCTCTCTGATTTCTTGGCTTCCAAGCCTCGAACGCAACAGAACTTCCCCCCTAGAAAAACGACAAATGAAAATGTGCCAATCCCTACTCGAAGCAGCACAGCGGCCTCGGCAAATGCACCCTCGCAACCTATCCGTATCCTACAAAGGGGCCAAGGAGACCCATTCCACTTCCCCGGTCACTCTGAACGAACCGTCCCGAACTCGCCATACTCCAACCAAGCTCTGCCCGGGACGGTTGAGTTGTCTACCTCCGCTGATAGGTCTTCCGTTGTGTCGCCGGGTGCAGGCACTCGACGGGCCGAAGTCTCCCAGGACCAGAAGAAGCAGCTCCTGTCATTATTCGGCAAGCAGCCTAACCCGAATGCTCCCGGCCACGATGCCGCCCAGGCCGAGCTGGCGGCACCCGAGCCCCCGCGGTCGCGCCTCGTGTCCCTCGCAGGCAGCGGGGTTGGCTATGGAACTGGGCCTCCTTCCAGGGGCAGTAGCCAGACCCCGATATCCCCGGCGGACCAGAGCTTTTTGTTAGATTACCTTCAGTCAGTGACCAATAACGCGTCTCGCTGAAAGATGACCTGCTGGGAATGATGGGCTGTTATCTTTACGTTTCTGTACTATGTGCCGGGTGTTTTTATGTCCTTTCTTAATCATGTTCTTTCTATTTTCAAACTATGGAGCACCCGTTTCTACAGGAGTTATGCCGGCACGAAGCGGGTGGATAGCAAGTATCGATAGCGTGGTAACGCCTTATATCATCATCTCGAATGCAAAGCCACTATTGTGAAAATCGTTATGCTGTGATCGGAGGAGTGTTCATATATTTGCATTTTTAGCTATCTGAATTCCCTTTTCAAATAAACCCCGGAAGAACTAGGTTTCCCGCAACGAGCAGAATTGATTTGTAGCTTTTCGTCTTTGTGTACAATCAAGTTTACAGGGCTAACCCCCGGATCGCCTCTGTCAGAATGTTTTAGGAAGACAGTTGAAGCGGTTATCGAACCAGGGAAACTCATCACTTGATATAACCAAGATCAAACTATAGAGTGATCGGCTACCGAATTTCAGGGAAGCAACAATAAAGAGACATGATCTCGTGATCTCATTCAACATCTGAATATCTGTGTTTTTGTGTGTGTTCAAACACGCGCGATTACGGTAATGGACAGTCGCTAAGTGATGAAGAACTTAGGTTTTACTATGCCTCATCGTCGCTATGGTTCATATCGAGGAGATTGAATCTGTTTGTGGTCGTGCTTGGCCGGCGCTCCTTCACTGCAGGTTTGGGTCGACTTGGGCGTCTGAAAGGCACCTGATCTAGAGGCTGGCAGCATTCATCGACGTCATGCTCGATTCGCGATCCCTTGTATTTCCTGTCAAGTCTGCATTAGGAATCTAGAAAATCTGAAAGACATTCCATAGAGTTAGAGTTGCTCAACACTTACAGTCGACTCATCATGCAAGTACGAGCAAAGGTGGCCGCAGTGACCGAGTTGGTGCTGATGTAACAATCTCCCCTGGCGAACTCGATTCTGAGGACAACGAGATTGTGGATGTGTTCGAGATCCTCTCGGATGCTTTTCACAGTATGGTTGAGACCACATTTTCGAATAACAAGGTTCCGAGTCGCCCCTGAGGATATCTTACGAGCGATGTGATCGGAAAGAATAAACTGACGTTCATTCCAGGTGACATCGATCTATGCCGTACACATATTAGAATGAATGAAGCTTAGAATGAATGCAGCTCGTGAGAAGTCCGTTGGAATGCTCTTTGCTTACCCGCTTTTGTTTGATGTACAGATCATGCTTTCGAACGTGGTTCATGTATGCTTTGGCATCAGTTTCGTGCATGAAAGAAACGGACGCGGTATTTTCTCTATATCTGAGATAAATGTCCAGAACCTGACCACCTCGAATCATATTGGCGACATCGAGGTGAGTTGTTCCCTCGGCAAGATTCGATAGACCTATGGTTCTGTTGCCTTCGCGTGGCGCTCGGCGCTTTGAATTGATGGGATAACCCTCTGCTCTACTCCTCGTAGAGACATATGAACCAAATGAAGATTGACGGGGAGGATATTCATTTGGAGGATCAGGTTGGGAAACTACCCATTCGCCAAGCCTATTCTGGTAGCCATTGGGTTCGTTTTCAAGGGGCGAGGTCGACTCGCTTTCGGGGCTTGTTTCGAAGCAATGCTCCTGTTCCAGGTTGTCTATCCCTTCCTGAGGTTGGGTCTCACTGAGAAGCTTGACCACAAGTCTTATTAGTCTTGAACCTTAGGAAATGAGATAAGCAAACAGAGCACAGATGTGAGAGAAAATTGGTTCGAGATTTCAGAGATCCAAACAACCCGTGGGTGCTAGAAAAGTAACGAGAGGACTTACTGCGATCGTTTCTTCGTCAGTTCCCCCAAGAATCAAATTGGCACACAGTCTGGCTATGTCGTGAGTTAATGTTAGTTAGCTTATGTGAATATGGTTATGTGTTTTGAGACATGATAATTTTCCACAAAAGTTAACCGATTCAAGAAGGCAGGCGGAGGGGGACAAGGTATTCAAATACAAACGGCTTTGCTCGGAAACTGACTGACCGTATCGGCGAGAAGTTCGAGTTAGCTGATTGTATTCTACAGTTGGGATCGAGACCATGAACGGATCTCGATGTGCTTCATTGGCAGGGCGAGGGCCAGCGGACTTGGCCGCCAGATGTTAGTAACAATACTCGGCAGAAAGTACAGGGACCTAATCATACAGAACTTGGTAGCATGATTAGCTTGAGCCTTGATGCATGGTCAAAAACCGATGGAGTAAAGTGTGTGGAGACTTACCAACCCATTGTCATGGTGTACGGAATCCGTGAGCCCAAGAAGGAAAGAGGATTCGCGACCGTATTGAAGATATTGGGGATGCAAATGGCCGAAGGTCTCAAGCTCAGGCAGTAGAGCGTACCCTGTTGGAAGGCAAAGGACAGCCGCACGAGGAAGAGTGAAGAAGGAGAAAGAAGAAAAATCAGGCATCAAGGAAGGTGCTACAAGATGCGGACTGGACGCAGCTGCCGGTCAGACCTGCCTCTACCTGCCTCTACCTCGCAGTACCTGAGGACCTGCAAATGTGCAAGTGTGCGCTATTGTGCACTGGAAAGATCCCCAGGTACCGCACCAGACAGGTCAAGTTGGGGTCTGCCGCCTGCCAACCGCCTCATGTGCGCCCGCTGCCGGTGCGAGTCCACCACTTGCAGCAGCTTGATGCATCCAGCTTCACGTTGGCATCACTTTCCCACTGGCTGTTGGTTCATGTGGCGCTGCGCCACGGGCCAACCATCATGCAACGGCGGCGCTTAAAAGCGAACATGGCGACTGTTTAGGCAGATGGGTGGTCAACATGAAGCCAATGGATGTTGTTGTTTCAAATGTTGGCCCATGGTCTGGACGAAATGAAGCTGCAGAGGCCGAGATGTATACATCACATGTCAGGTTGGTACACTTCAAGGACGACCAGTGAGGGTGATGGTTTGCAAACAAGTTCATGTAACCCAGACATTGCCTCTTGAACCCGTTGCACGCGCAGAACAACTCTGTGCTCCTGCTGGCATTGCGGATAGTGTTTTGGGTTTTGCGGCTCGGATGTTTGGCGTCCCACCAACTGGGTCTTTCGAGCACGCAGGTGACTGCACGAAGTTATTTTCAAGCAGTGGCATAGAATCGTGCAATCATAGCTCTGCCCATAAAGTTGGGAATAATGTATATAAATACTACTTTTAGCCTACATCTGTCAGTTATTCGAACCGACTTAGCGCTATACTATTTACCATGCCGGTGGCCATTGCCTCAACGTGCCCAAGCCCCTCACTACATCGGTACTGGGGCCCCTGACCGGTGTAGCACGAACAACGTCACATGCGGGTAACCCCGTGTTGAGGATACGAGCAGGGAGTATATTTAGGTAGATGCCAGGCGCCCAACACGAGATCACGTGCTTTGCATTTACACATCGGTCCAGGGTGCATACCGGTCCTTCCAGGCGCTTGAGCTGTGTGTCCGTCACAGCACCACAACGCGTCCCTGAGCCCACTGGAATGAGCCTGTAATATGTAGCAGATGACGGTGCACCGCTTCTGAAATTATCGTACAGAGAGGGTGAAACGGATGAGATAGACGTGGAAAATCCCCCATTTGCTGTGCGCACGAGTGCCTCAGTTCTTCGTGCCTCGCGCCCCCAATTTTCCTCGGATTCCGCGCCTTGGTCGCCACAGTGTATTGTTGCTTGGCTCAGCACCAGCATTTTTTTTCTTCGTATTGGCGATCAGCGGCTTCTCACAGCCTCTCAGCTGTCTCTGCGAGCGTCCAGGCTTCGGGCCAATTGAGTCAGCGCACGCACACGGCGCTAAACCACGGCTGGTAGCAGTTGGACAGGGGGCCTTACTCTAAACCCAAGACAATCCACAGTGTTCCACTGGCTGGTGTGTTTTGACCCTGCTGAAAAGTCCAGCGACTCCTCTCTTCCGTGCCGTGGCATCTGCCGCTCCTTTTCAAGTCATCACTTTGACACAGAGGGCGATACTTGTCGACTTCAGTGAGCGTTGTTTGCCTCTTTTCCCCGTCTCTCGCTTCCTAACCTTCCGCTCGCTTTCTCAACTCGCTTTTTTTCTATTCTCTCAACTCGATAGTCCGTCCGCCCGTTACGCCGCTGCAACCCCCTTGATCGTTGACCTGCCAACACCAACACCTTCACTCGCCATCTTTGTTTGAACCTACGTGTTCAGCCTTCCGACCATTGTTGTTTATCCCGATACCCCTCCGAGCCACGAGCAGTCGAGATCCATCGTCTTTTATATCAATTTAATCAAAATGCGGCCAACCCGTAGTATTGCCCAGTTGGCCTTGTGCCTGTATGCCATGGCTCCCTTGGCTTCCGCATGGCCACAATGGATGCCCGAACAAGATTCGCTCTACGTTCGTGCGGACGAATCATCTGGTAGGACTCTCTCTCTCGCAATATGTGTAACAACCAGTGGATGCCTACTAACACCTCGGATCAGCGGCCTCACAACCAGCTTCCGTCTCAGCTACGGCCACTGGCGAAGCATCCAGGACCGGAGGGAACTCGCTCAATACAGCCAAACCCGAAGAATCAGAGGCAGAACAAACTGGATCCCAAACTGGCTCCCAGACCGATGGATCCAAGACGACATCGGGAGCCAGTGGCTCATCGAAGGGAACCGATTCCGCAAAGAAGACCACCTACGGCAACACCATTTTCGCCGGCGGTGTGAAGATGATGACCCCGGACCCGACGAAGACTGCAAGCGCCCTTTTCAAGATCGGAGACACCGTAACTCTTGGCTGGAACTACACAAGTGTCAAGGCGGCGCCGACTGCCATTGATGTGCTGCTTAGCTGCAAGTCCAAGTCGGCGACTTGGACCCTGACTGGAAACATGACCTACGAGACCAAGGTTGAATACATCTGGGATACCAACAAGCAGGCCAACGATGGCAGTAACCCTCTTGGAACCGACCAGTACACCCTCATCGTCAAGGATTCAGAGGCTCAAATCACCGATAGCCCGCAGCCGGGATACCTCAATGTCGTCAGTGCCCTCACCTTCGGAATGTACACGCCCCAGGCCTACACACCTTACGCAGACTGGAAGTGTAATGCATGCAGCTCTGCACCCCCAACTCTCGACCTGGGGGCTGTGAAACTTGCAATGACCATGTCGCTCATCACGCTCCTCAGCTTCACCTGGTTCGTTGCTGGTCTGTGATCCTATTACTTTTTAATATCATGAATACAAATTCCGTATCTGCGCTTTGGTCTGGGCGCTCTTGGATTGGTATGTGGTTGGGACGGTAAGGTATGCATATGCATTGCGTGATGGCCATATCAGAGCTTTTTGTCATTGGGAGTTCAGGGATTGTTTTTTTTTGGCTTTACTTACTTAATATTGGAGATTCATACGGCGAATTGCCTGGTCCAAGTTGAAAAAAATTCTGACGGAGAGATAATATACAGTAGTGTACGGTGGCGATATATATTCACGATCTCAAATTACTACATACAATCGCATACACATGACAGTTCAATTGTGGTTGGAAGATGGTGCTATTAATACTACTCTGTGATAAAGCTTCGTTCCCAAGAACATGAATGGGAAAGAGTTGGTTGGATATTAGACCATTCGTAATGAGAACCCCGCGCCTCTCTCTTCCCTTTCTCGTCTCTGGAATAGACCGCCCAGATCAACTTCTCCAAGCGAAGCTGCTGCTTGGCCCCGAGCAGGGGCATTGGGTTCGTGCCGCCGCCGCTTCTCTTGCCCAGCTTTGCTGGGGAACGTGGGGAACAGGCTCTCGGGCTTTGGCTTGGGGTCTTGGTGGAAGTACTCGTGCTGCAGCATCTCGCTGGCGGACGGCCGCCGCTCCGGATCCAGAGCCAAGAGATCGTTCAGCAGCGAGGCGCCCGCAGACGTCAGGTTGGGGAAGCGGGCGCGGATGACGGAGCCGGTCGTCTGCGCGGACCGTGGCAGCCGCAGCGACCGGGCGTTGGGGAGTCTGCGGAAGCCGGGCCACGACTCCTCGGTGGGCACACCGCACAGCTCGAAGACCTTGGATATCTGGTCGACCTCGTTCTTGCCCTGCAGCAGCGGCTCGCGGGTGAGGAGCTCGCCGAATATGCAGCCCACGCTCCACATATCCACGGCGCTGCCGTAGGTCTTTGTGCCCAGGAGCAGCTCTGGGCTTCGGTACCAGAGGGTGACGACGAGGGAGGTGAGTTTGGGAGGGGGGTCTCCCACGTAGCGAGCCATGCCGAAGTCGGCGATTTTGAGTTGGCCGCGGTTGTTGAGGAGGATATTCGAGGTCTTGAGATCCCGGTGTAGGATCCAGTGATTGTGCAAATAGGCGACGCCGGATGTGAGTTGGAGGAGTAGTTGCTTGACTTCGGAGGAGAGGAACGGTTCGGGCATGTCGTCGAGGATTCCCTTGAGGTCGTGTTCGACGAACTCTAGGACAAGAAATATGGAACTATGGGCAGTTGTTAGAGAGAGAGTACGTAGAACGGTGGGTGGACAGATCGCAATGTCACATACTTGTCCAGTCGGGAAACATTATCGCCGACGACTACTTCGTCCATTGAGACAATGTTGCGATGCTTGCAGTCGCGCAAGATCTGTATTTCCCGGAGCCCTGTCACAGGCAGTCCGCTGCGATCGCCAGCCTCGAGCTTCAAGCGCTTCAGCGCAACCACCTTCCCAGTGGCCAGCTCAGTGGCACGGGCGACCCAGCCGTACGTGCCCTCCTCGATGTCGTTCAGTTTATCATAGTGCTCGACACTCCGAGACTTGTCCCAGCCCTCTACCTCGAAGCGCAGCGGCTTTGCTGGCGGGAGATCCGGCTCCGGCGTCCGTCTTTGCCGCTTCGTGGGTCGGTCATCCGTCGATCCTAGAGAGTGCTTCTTCTTCCTCGCTTCCTCCTCCTCCTCGGCCTTGCGAGCCTTGGCTGCTTTGCGCTGGCGCCGCTCTTCCTTTTGTCGCTTGCGCTCGGCCTCCACTGCCTCATCCTCCTGCGCGTTGGCCCATCGTGAGCGAGGATTCGACGACATGGCGATCCTCCTGTCCGCGACTCGAGAATTGAAAGATCATGTATTTTGTTGGCGTGGGCAGCTCGTCGTTGACTTTGAGCCCATCACTTCAGTCCGAGCGCTGGGACGTGTCGCGCGTGTGTGGAGTAGATGCTGGCTGATTTGGGGTAGCTAAAATAATTGTTCTTCAGTCGACGTCAAGTACTAGGTATTGAGGTAGCATCAAGACTTGTATAACACAACACCCGAGGAAGACTTTTTGCATGTGCCATTGCCTTTCCAATCCAGTTTGCACTTTCCATCGTATATTTCCTGACAAAATATTCGATTCACCTTTCCATCGGCATCCGGCATTGAGCTTGGACTGTGCAGGGGAGATCAAAAACTCAATAACCCTGCACTCTTCCTACAAGAGCCTCATCCAGTCGGTTGATCAACAGCCCGCCAACCTCAGATCGGGGCCGTCATGCTGAGGCCGGTCCCTTTCAGTCTGCGGCCGCTGAGGCTTGCACGGTGTTCAGCAATCAACCGAGTTCAGCCATGTTTCCGGAGGAGCTTTTCGAACTCAGTCTTTCAGCAACAGCAGCAAGAAGAGAGACAGTGGTCTACGCCGCTTGCCAAAAAGCTCTTCCAAGCCATATCTGTATGTCGCCATCAACTCAATTCCGATGTGAGCCCTGCTGTTCTCGTAATTAACCGCCGATAATTGCTAGATCACTGGTCCTGTACCCCTTGCTAGCTATATGCGCATGTGTCTGACTGGTGATCTTGGTGGTTACTATACCGGTGCCATCGAGGACACTCGTGACCAATTTGGCACCAAGGGTGATTTCATCACATCTCCTGAGATTTCACAAGTCTTTGGGGAGCTCATCGGCATTTGGTTCGTGGCCGAATGGATGAGCCAAGGCAGCCCGAAGAGCGGTGTCCAGCTCATCGAGGTCGGCCCTGGCCGTGGAACCCTCATGGATGATATGCTTCGCGTATGTTTATGCAATAAGTCTTGATATGGTCTCACGTTCTCACCATATGCTGTGCAGACATTCCGGAGATTTCCAGCAATGGCTAATAGCATTGATGCTGTTTATATGGTTGAAGCTAGCCGCGAGCTCAGAGAAACGCAGAAGAATCTCCTCTGTGGCAAGGATGCCCCGTCTACAGAGTCTAATGTTGGGTATCATGCAACCGGAAAGCACACTGGAAAACCTATCGTGTGGACTGACTCCATCAAGTCGATCCCTATCGGTAAGCCATGAGCCATCTCATGCCATAATGACAACCCGCTGATGTCTCCAATTAGATCCGTCCAAGATGCCATTTATCGTGGCACATGAGTTTTTTGACGCCCTGCCTATACATGCTTTCGAGTCGGTGGCTACTCCCACAGAGCCTGAGTACCAGGAGGGAGACAAACCAAGCAAGCCGAAGCCAAAGGAGGCCACTGAATGGCGAGAGATGATGGTGTCTCCCACCCCCCCGGGTGCCACACATGCAGACCTGGGCACCCCCAAGTCTGAGCAGCACCAGCCAGTCCCCGAATTCCAACTCATCATGTCCTCAACGCCAACCAGACACTCGAGATATGTCCCGGAGTCTTCACCACGATACCGGAAACTCAAGCCCACCCCCGGCTCTGTCGTCGAGGTCTGCCCCGACGCCTCGCTCTATGCCAGTGACTTTGCAACCCGCATCGGCGGCTCCTCAAAGTCGCCCAAGGCAACCCCGAGCGGTGCGGCCCTCATCCTTGATTACGGCACCTCCGACACCATCCCGATAAACTCGCTCCGCGGCATCCGCCAGCACAAGCGCGTGAACCCCTTCTCGGAGCCCGGCCTCGTCGATCTCAGCGTCGACGTCGACTTCACTGCCATTGCCGAGGCTGCCATGCTGGCGAGCGAGGGCATCGAGGTTCATGGTCCCATCGGACAGGGCGACTTCCTCGAGCTCATGGGGATTCGCGAACGAGCTGAGATGCTTACCAAGGCCCCCGATGTAACTCAGGAGTCTGCCGATAAGATTAAGCAGTCGTGGAGGCGTCTCGTCGATCGGGGTCCTGGCGGGATGGGCAAGCTGTACAAGGCTTTGGCCATTCTTCCTGAGAATGATGGCCGTCGACGGCCGGTTGGTTTTGGTGGTGATATTTAAGACCAAACACAATTGGTTATCTGGACCGACCGCTGTTCTTAGCTGCCAAAGCTTGAAGGGCGTTGTTCCAATGCACAGCATACAACGATGTAATTGTCAGTTGAAGTACGGGATATTCTTGGCTGGCTTCGTCCCTGGGCGCTGTATTTATCTCCGTTTCTCCTGTAGTTCTACGTTAGGGGCATGGAGCCAGCCATTTGCCAACTCCATACACTCTAAGGTATCCAAAGTCTAATATCAAACACCAATGTAGATCGAAGATGTCTTGACAGCTGATCTTGAATTTGCCGACAACTCATGTTGACTGTTTTATCGTGGATCATGCGGCACTGTATTAGTATGCTCAATATAATTTGATTGACATATGAATGTGTTATAATACAGTTCCCAATCTATACCTGCATATACGTGTGTTGAGGCTAAGATTAAATTCGTGTCCCTCATACATCACAGAACATCCGCAGACCAAATCAAAAACGCCGCCGCCCAAGTCGTATCGAGGCTTTATCTACAACCACCTAACGTAACAATCTCCTACTATTTGACCCTCAGTATATTAGTTGTTCTTGCGTACAAGTTTGGCCTCCTCATCGCTGTCATCGTCGTCGTCGTCGTCGTCGTCATCGTCATCATCAAGATCTGACATCTTGTCACCATCTTCTCCGACGGCGAAGATAGTCTCTCCATCAAGAGACTCGCGCGGGAGAGGGCGATGGCTGGATGATGATGCTGCAGCTCCGGCAGCTCCAGCAAAAGCAGCCCCGGCGATTCCGGCACCAGGAAGTGCGGCACCAGTGGACTGTTGTCCTTGATTCTGACCCCGGTTTTTACCAACATTGGCCTCCTCGTCATCATCGTCAAAGTCATCCGGGACACCAATGTCGGCAAACTCGAAATTACCATCATCGTCCTGGGCGACTTCGTCACTCATGGCAAAACGGCGGTTGTTGGCTGTAGGGCGCCAGATGTATGCGATCCAAACAACATCGGCAAAGTAGACAATGTTTAGCCACCCATCAAGCACAAACCATCTGGATTTCCAATGCTTGGGGACGAAATTTGGATCCCGGATCGAGGCGAACGCAAAACTGTTGAAGAACAAGAAACCGAAGATGACGATGATGCTGGCAAGAATGGCCCACCATAGCTTCTTGTACATGCCTTCCTTGACATTCTGCTTACGCTCCCTGAGCTCCTTGAGTGTGGCGTTCAATGAGTTCAAGGTCCACACATAAAACGCTGTCAAGGTACTGGCGAGTGGAAGAACAATGAGTAGAACGAAGGGAGCTGAACGAGCATTAGCCGATTTTGAGCTGGAGAAACTTGGCACTTATACCAGACTTACTAGCACTCTCGGGAGAAACAATGAGACTGGTGATCGAATACATCAGGCCGAAGATAAAATGAGCAGCTGCCAACCACCGAACCCAGATCATTGTTCGACCAAGACTGGGCTTCACTACACCGTATCCCATGCAGACAATGAGGAGTAGAAAGAAGGAGAACGAGTTGCGAGCTGAATTGAGGATAGCAACGATGATGAGCATGACCTTGGACCCGATATTAGAGCCATTGTGGTTCTTGAAATCTGTAGGGCAGGTTAGTTGAGGTACTCCGGTCACGATTCACTACTTTAGTCGCTGCGTACCATAGAAGCCCCATGTCATAACCATTTCTATCGGGAGGAAGGCCAAGATGGCAGTGATGTAGTTCTGAACAGCCACTGGTTTTTGTTAGCCACAGACCACGCAGACGTGATATGAAAAGGACAGGAGTTGACAGACATATATCATGACGGTGCTGGTAGTAGAGGACTCCCCAGTAGCCAGCGACCAGAAGGTAGAGGATGGTAACACCACCGTAGAATGGAAGCTTAGGAATCTGGGTTGCAGCGAGTTCACCGTAGGCATTGCGGAATTCGGCGATGGCAGTATACGGGTGCGAGTTGTCCGAATGAGTGAACACACAATAGTATCCCGTCTTCTTGATCGAGTACTTGAAAGGCGTGGCATGGTCGAGATGCACGGCCTGTGTTACGACCTTGCTTTTGGACTTCTCGTCCACATCGGGGGCAACGATGTACTGATCAATGCTCGACGAGTTACATCGGCCTTGGTTCACAAAGTCTTGGTTGCACACGGCTAGAACCTGTCAGGCAGAGCTGTGTTAGCAACTGTCCACCGAATTGCGCTGACACGGGCATAAATGTTCACCTTGAAGCCATTGGGACCATCGATTTCGACGAGGCTCTTGTCCTTCCACTCGAAAATGAGGAAACTTGCCACCGGGTCCTTGCCGTCCTTCTTCGGTTGGTCGAGGAATTTGATATGGATAAAGGGATCGATAGGACCGCCCCAGGACTTTCTGTCGTACATGCCTTTATAGTTGGTTTATATCGTCAGGGATGACCTCTTAGCACAGATTGGGTTCAGGGTGGACAAAACAAACCGGCACACCAGTGGTTATCTTCTGGTTTTTCATTCTAAGCGAAGAGATGCTTTGTCAATACCTGTTCATAGGCGGCCGAATGAGGGTAAATGTTGGGGTTGAGGGATCCCAAACGTACAAGAGCGAGCTCCAGCGCCTGGGCCGTCCAGAAGGACAGGGCCAGGACCATCAGGCTCAATAATAGCTTCATATTGACTGAGTATCGCAGGATGTCTCCTCTAGAGATAGACGCGAGGTTTGGACCGCTGGTTGAGGCGATCGTAGCTTAAAGCTTGTCGTGGGCGCAAAGGGGTAGCGACGCTCCCGCGAGCGAGTGGTTCTCGGCTGGGACTCTCAAGGCTTATCGACTGTGGGATTTGATGCGTTCGTCGGACATGTCGCGATTCGGCCAAGGTTGATACAGCAGTCAATACGGTGGGCTGGTGCTGTTGATGCTATCCGAACATCCAAGAGGCATGGGAGAGTTGCGATCAAGATAGCCAGGGTGGCAGTTTCTCGGCACTTACGTATCCACGACATGGAGCCATTATTCATTGCCTAGAGCTCAGCAACCTTGTCCAGTGCACTGGAGCTAGTGCACCAAATCGACGCCCCGGTCCATCGAAAATCACACCCCATAGTACATTTTGACATAGTGCTTCCGCCCCACTATCTCAGAACGATTGGCTTAGAGGACTTCTTTTGTCTAGAAACGTACTAATAAGTGTCATTTCCACGGGCCCAGGGGTTAATCTAATTCCACTTCGAAGGACAGCTAAGGTTTAGATAGCTATTGCGAAGAGGGACTCAAAAGCACCAAGTATAACTCTTGCAAGCCTCTCCTTAAAAGCAATTCTAAAGGCTAAATAATCTGTCGAGCTTTTCAGTTTTAATCAACCACCTAGTGATCAATCAAACCAATCGATTCAATATTAATGAATCAATCAACCGACGTTGTTTCAACTGATTGGAAACGCAGTCCAGGGCCCACCCCGCCCACTAGATCGAGCACCGCATGAAACTAAGCCAGCCCGAGCCAGGTTAATCATCCCAAATCTTTATATCTGGAGCTAGGGGAGGAAAACAATCAACGTAAACGACACCCACGATAAGCAGCCATGGGAAAGGGAACAGACAAGCTCTATGTGAGGACACCCGCTATCCCAACAACCATCAAAGAAGCTTGCCCGTCCACTAACCAGCTTTAGATTACCCATTCCGAGTGGTCATCCTCCGACGCCTTCTCAGCCAGCGTCGGCGCAAACGCTGGCTCGCGCAACGCCGCCAATGGTGCGCCCTTCCGTCGCCTGCCCTTCAACTTCTGCGCCGCCTCCCTCCAGCCGTTCAAGAACCCCGTGTGCACCCCCGACGGCACCATCTTCGACGTCGAGGTCATCGGCGCCTGGCTCGAGAAGCACCCCGGCCAGAACCCCGTCGACGGCGAGCCGCTGAGCAAGAAGGACCTGATCAGGCTCAACTTCTCCAGGAATGCCGGCATCGACTCGCTGGGCGCCGGCCTGTCGGACGGCAAGGGCGACCTCGTCGACCCCGTGACGTACAAGGTCTTCACCGACAACACCCACATCGTCGCGATCCGGCACGGCAGCTACGCCAACGTGTTCGCGTGGGAGACGGTCGAGCGCATGAACATCAAGGCCAAGCTCTGGCAGGATCTCGCCGACGACGAGCCGTTCACGCGCGCCGACATCATCACGCTCCAGGACCCCCTCAACGCCTCGGCTCGGAATCTAGACCAGTTCAAGTTTCTGAAGGATGGCCACCAGGCCCAGCCCACCTCGGAGCAGGAGCTGGCCAGGCAGGAGGGGAATATAAACGCGAGCGCTCTGGGAAGCATGGGAGACAAGGTGGTGAAGGCCAAGGCCGCTGTGGAGAGAGCCCGTAAGGCGAGGGAAGCCGGAGCGGACGTGAACCGGAGCTCGGGGTTGCTGGCAAAAGGATCGTCGGCTGCCTTGTCCCAAGTAGTGCCCGCTGCCCGCCGCTCGATGATCCAGGATAAGAAGCTGGCGACCAATGCCGCGGCCTATACGAGCGGGAAGGCTGCTGCCAGTTTCACCAGCACTGGCCTGACGCCAGAGACGAGCGGCGAGCGGGCGATTCTCACCGAAGAGGAGTACATGCTGAAGCAGAAGCGAGTCAAGACAAAGGGCTATGCTAGAATGGAGACAAATATGGGCGACCTTACGATCGAGCTACACCCCGAGTTCGCGCCCAAGGCTGTGTGGAATTTTATCAAGCTGGCGCAAAAGGGGTACTACAAGGATGTCGCATTTCATCGCAACATTCCCAAGTTCATGATACAAGGAGGCGATCCCTCTGGGACAGGGCGAGGAGGTTCCAGTATCTGGGGCAAATATTTTGACGACGAGTTTGATGGCCCGATGACGCATAATGCCCGGGGAACTGGTAAGTTACCACGCCATTCTTTGATTTAGTGTGGGTTGTAGGGATACTGACACAATGACCTGTGAAGTTTCCATGGCCAACAAGGGCAAAAACACAAACTCGAGTCAGTTCTTCATCACATACAAGGCAACTCCCCACCTGGACCGCAAGCACACCATCTTCGGACGTATAGTCGACGGTGATGGAGTTCTTGCAAAAATGGAGGCAGCGCCGATAGACTCCTCAAACCGACCCTTGAACGATATTGTTATTCATGACATTGCCGTATTTGTTGATCCCTTTGAGGAATTCCAGAAGCAAAAGAGGAAGACCGAGTTAGAAGAAAAGGAGAAGGAGGAGATACGAAAACAGGGAGGCACCGAGGATGATAAGACTACGTGGACTGGCAAAAGAATACGGCAAGACGGCACCATTGACGACACCGGGTCCTCTCAAACAGTTGGAAAGTATCTCAAGACGGGTTCTGGCCGTGAGGAGACACTCGACGATGGAGCTGACAATGGCGCATGGGGAGGAGAACCGTCGAAGAAGAAAATCAAGACAGGAGGTTTTGGCAATTTTGACGGTTGGTAAATTCAGCATGATTATATTCCCAACCCTAAATTCGTTAATCATTAAGAGGGGGCTTGTACTCCCCGTCAGCCCGCTCGCTGACTAGCTATGTACGTATATATGTTGCCATAGTAGGCGACGCACTCATCATATCCTATTTTTCTAATGTATTCAACTCAGCAGAGCAGCGATTTAGACCATGATAGGCAGAGTTTCATCCGAGATTGCAGGTATATAGTTCATGGGAATGTCCTCCCACGGCGGGGATTCGACCCTGGCTTGGATGATCAGTTTCACAGTCCGTGCTTGATCCAATCCAGTTTCGACATAGATAGCGTCCAGACGCTCAATAATGTACTGCCGTGTCTCACGAGTGCACGAAGACGACATGCCGAGGGTGTACAGAGGCCAGACAATTGTGTTGCTGGCTGATGCAAGAGTCATAAAACGCTCAGGATCACCTCGACCATCGTCAGATTGGGTAGGGTCAAGCAGCGTCGGTCTTGGAGAGCCACCTGGTGATTCGGGTGTTCTGTGGCGAGGTGGTCTGGGGGATGGAATGGGACACGCTGAGGCGATGCGTTGCGGGGGGTCTGTGGTTGGGACAAAGTGGCATTGGCTCCCAGCCATAGCATCGCGGAAACTAATGACGCCAAAGTGCTGCGGGACACTAGCAATGATGGAGTCTCCAAGCAGTTCCAACATTCTCATAGATTTCACTAGGAGAATCTGGTGCCTCATCGGTGGTACCGCTGTCCGAGCCATGCTGGAGCACAGCTGCTCCAAGATGGTCTCCTGGACAAGCATTCTCATAGTGCGCATGCCATTCCATGTTGTAGCCTGCGCAAAACCACGGTAGAGGTGACACCAGCTGCTCAGAATTGCCGAGTTTGGTCGAGTGACCTGGACGGAACGGTAGTGCCAAACCCGAGGCATCTCACTGACAAGTGTAGCGAATTCATTCTCTACATCGGCAAGCTTAGCGACGATCTCGTCCGTGTCCTTGAGGATCTTTTGCTTGATGTCATTTCGGATTTGCAGGGCTCGGCAAATGGGCTCGAACATCCGCCAGGTTGGGTCTTTGGTGTTGGTATACTGTCCCAGTTCATTTCTTAGATCCAACATGGCCTGAGGCATTGGGAGGCCGGCTTGAATGCAGGTAATGAGAACAGAATGGCACAGCATAAGGAACATTCTTGTGCCAGCCTTCGTACGGAAGGGTGTGGCACCCCTCATCCGGGTGAGAGCGGCAGCGCCGTTCACATGGTCTTTCCAAGCTCCCATAGTTTGTGGGGTGCGGCCAGTGATAAACTCATAAGTGCCGAGCACCAACACAGCAAGCATGGTGCCATCACTGACGGCCTCTGCGGGGTTCTGAAGGGCGGCGTTTGTCAACTGTAAAGCGGTGCCGTAACTCTGGCGAGATTGTACCATCATGTCATGGCTGCGAGTGATCTTGGAGAGACCAGCCAGCCCAACTGCAGTCATGCTGGCAGTGACGCAGTCCAGGACCTCGGATTTCCCCTTGGGGGGCTTCCACACGTCATAGACGAAGTCATAATTCTGGTAGCAACCAAAATCAACAGCTACATATCGAGAAAAGAAGAACGCAGTCCCTCGTTCTTGTAGCGAATGTGTCAAGGGGTACTGGAGGACTAGAGACGATGTACCCGAGTCGATCAAGATATCGCCATTGTCCGAGTCGTTGGACGAAGGTGATGTGCCCGACGAACCGCTGCTGGGTGTGAGCATCGAGAATAGGGCCGAGGAGAAGGACGGAACGCAAGTCGCGGTGCCTTGTTCATGGTGAGCGTAAGGTTGCGAAGGATGGATTTGCTTTGGAGGAGGTCGAGGCGCAGTGATTTTCGCAATGGGTTCAGGCTTCGTGGGCTTCTTGACAGCGCCAGTCTTGGTAGTCCTTGTTGTTCTCGTGGCCTTCTTAATTACATGGCTGCTCTCGTCACGGAACATGAGGTCGACCATGTTTCGATACCCAGGGCACTTCTGTTCGCGCTTCTCACACTGACCACACTCGGGTTCGCGCTGGTCACACTGGAGATTCGCGAGGGACCGTATTAGAAAACCATGTACATTGGAATGGGGCAGAGACGAGCGATGCTATACGGCTCGAAAGCACAGCAGCGATGGGGATAGTTCTGAACCTACCCGAACCTTGCGCTCCCGGCAATTGGAACATCCTTTGGAAGGTTTACCGCAGTAAACCATGATGGGCGGTAATGGGCAATGTTGGCGATGGATAGAAGAGTTTCGCCAAGGACTGAAGTGATCGTCAACGAGAGTTTCTCAGCGCGCAGGCAGGTCGGATTGACGAGGGATAGATATGTCGCTGATTGATGGGCTATTCTTTCCCTGGCTGCGCATTTATTAGAATTCGGAGAGGGGCAATATGTCGAGACAGGGTGTGTCTGGGACGGCTCTGGGCGTAGGTCCTGCAGGTGTTGAGGGGGGGGGTAGCGAACGGACTGGTGGGATATGGAAGATTGTGACCGGAAGAGGAGTCAGATGGAGGTTACATGCAGCGAGCGCGTGGCAAGGCAGGCAACCTTGAAGCGACCGATGTGCCCAGTTTCTCTGCCATCCTTCTGCTGCACCGCACCCGCGGTTTTAGTGCCAACAACCCGACACTAACATCCAACTGGCTGGCGCTTGTGTTTCTGCAGCCTGGCCGCAGTAAGCAGGCTAGCTGCTAGCCCCTATGTATACCTGCTAGGTACATCGCACCGAGTGATGAAGTGGTGGGGAGAAGTAACGTTCGGCCGCCTCTCTCTCACCCAATCAGTGATGCAGACGCTGATGAATGTGCCTGGCACCCGGTGTTAAGCTGCGTCCTAGCGAGGGCCTGACACATCGCGCCGGCTCCGCTATCGAGGTGACAGCGGTAGCTCTAATTAAGTGTCTCTCCCTACCGAGTTGGATCTCAGCTGAATGCAAATGTGCCGGCCGTCGTGCCCATGTATATACCGTCACAGATCCGATGGATCAGACGCCTGGATGGTAGAGAATGGCAATATGGTGCTCATGCATAGATACGGGCTCAGCTGCCCAACTCCCCGTTGAGCCGTTGAGGGCGAGAGCCATTGCCACCACTGTATTGAGTTATGCAGACTCGGCACAAGTCCCAATCAGACCCGCCGTTAAATACGGTACATCAGCGCTGTGCCGAATCTAATTCCATTGGCGTTGGCCCTACGGAGTACACTGCCCCAACATTCCGTGCGCTCTCACATCATTCGAGGCTCGAAGGGAATGAGTTGCTGCCATTAGTTCCGTCGTGAGACGCACCTTATGAGCCTTTGTGTGGCCATTTCGCCGTCGCTAACACGTTTTATCCCCTAGTTAGGTACCAAGGGGCAAAACGTATGCCATCAGCTACTCTCGGAGAGGGAGGGAAAAGTTCCGGAGTAGATCTCAGCTGGAGATGGAGATGGGATTTCCCCTTTAGGGATGGTCTTTGCATCCTTCGTTGACATGCCAGGCAAATCTAATTCACGCTAGTTGTCGTGGTTTCTTTGCAAGGTCGCCTGGTTCATTCTCGATGTATTGCCTGCTTGATGAGTTCGATGACGATGATTGATTTCTGGCTAAAGTTCACCATCCCTGTTTCTCCAACAATTCCATGAACTCAATATTGAGTAGTGCCAAGGTTTTATTGCATACGGGATTTACATGCCTTTAGCCTGACAATGGCCCCATATTACGCAAGTGGCGCTCTCGTTTAGCGTTTTAGTCGTTTGTTTTACTTTCAAGACATTCGAACAACCAAGGACTCCTACGGCCGCTAAAAAGGTTCTACACCAAGATTCGAACATACAGTTCCTCGCAACTCAGTAATGCAATCCCAAGTAGGCGAGTTATTAAAGCATTCCATCCACGGGCCACAGTACCTAGCAGGACGATGAAGTCCATTCTGCGTAGATAGGGGTTGAGTGTCTCATTCTGATGACATTATGAGAAGCCAGTTGGGATTTGGGAAGAGAGGTGCTCTGAATCCGACCGTTTCAGAGCGTTTTCTTTAAGTGCCGGCTAACAACGTGGCCACCCTTCCTTCCATTGATATCTTGGGGCTAAGAAATGTCTATTATCTGAAGACTTGGCACACCCTCAATGCCTTCCTTCTTTCTCTGCTCTTCCCACTTCTTTGTTGTCTAATTTCATGTTCGTCCAAGATCGTCAGCCATCTCACAACCAACAGCAGCGTTGCGCTAGGCTTGAGCTAGCGACGCTATAGCAATTGTCCCGATAGAACTTCACGATGGATTTCTTCCGCGAGTCCTTCGAGCAACGGCATCCTTTGTATCATGTAAATCATCGACCAGTTGCTCTGCACCATTTCGAACGGTTTCGAGAGCCGCAAGAATCCAATCGATATGCTCCAAGCCAGAGCAGGCCACAGAAGGATCATCCGGTTTAACTTGATATTGCCTGGTTGGAGGCAAGCAATGCGTGGCTGAGCCGGCCGATGCAACGCTGCCGACTGGCCTTGTCACAGCACACCACCGCTGAACGAGGTGTGTAGTTATGGAGGATAGCTGCCACCTTGTATCACATTTAGGCATTTCACTACCATACATGCATGCGTAGGACATGCAGACTGCAAGGAGAAGACTCGCAACCCATGTACTCAGCTGCCGCTGCGGATGTATCGATGTTTCCGTTCTGCCCCTTGTGCATGCATTATGATGCCCTGCATCTGCATTAATGAGCACATGGACATATGTACTGTTACGTTAAACCGGAAACGACGAGACCCGAATCCCCTGCTCGAAGACGGCACAGCAACAAAGCCCCCCCCNTCATCACATGCCCAAGCTGAACCTCGGACGCCCTCTTATCCAGCCCTCCCTGATAAGCTTCTAGGGGCTTTCGAAGCTGACCGCGTGATTGCCCCTCAAACTACTCAATATTAGATCCGCTGCTGACTACTGACAGGAAGTTGCCGAGTAGCCAGCTACCGGCATACACCGTCCAGCAGCAGCTAGAGAGGTGGTCAACCCATGTCAGATAGATTCAGCCGCACGCACCTTTCTCTCCACTCCAGTGCAACAGTACAGTTGCAGAGCGTAACATTGGAAGGGTTGGTTTGTCACTTATGCAGGCCCCTTATAGTAGCAAACTTGATTATCAGCGAGTACATAGTACAGCTCCCAAAGCTGAACCTGTTTAAAACCCGGATTCATGTCTTCTCATCCTTCAAATGTCGCTGCGGGGTCATACTGGCGCAGAAATAGACTCAGCGTCCAGTCGAGGCGCCTTCTTGAGCGCATCATTCCACGGTCAAATGCTACATTGCACCGCCGCCAGGCCTAACTTTGTGCTGTTGGTCTTTGGGACTTGCCGAGAGAGCCCAGAATCAAATCAATATATCAATATCTGTGACACATACCCTCCAAGGGTCTGCGCTGCTATCGGCCTATAAGCTTTTCAATGATACTCTGGGTGTTTGACATGGGAGACTCTACCAACACTCCGTAATTCGTCCCAATCTTGATGTATCACCAAATTTGGTATTATTAGCAAGAGGTTCTATACCGGCAGTGGGGAGTAAAAATGACAATTTGAACCCTATCTGGAACCTGGTAGGTCGAAATGCGAGACACTGACAAGGCAAGGCAAGGAAATCCGAAGGCAAGGCAGAACAAAACTGAGACAAGCCATCTGAATGCTATAAACGGTATTATGGTTTCAACTCTAAGCCTCGAGGAGAAACAAGACCATTGCCAACACAAACCCACTGTGTGCAATGCCCCCAGCCCTAGATGAGGTGGCTGTTCCTCTTTCTTTGTCACTCCGGTCATTATCACTGTTTTCTGTCTCCTTAGTACTGGCGTCGGTGGTCTTTAGAAAAGACTTGCCACCAGAAACGGCATCGCCTGCAGTTCCATCTGGGATCAGACATGTATCCTTTAGGGTCATTCCCTCGTTACGGCATGCTGCCAATTGACGTTTGAGGTGATCCGGATTTGATGAGTTGAAATAAGCTTTGACGTAGCGAACAATCATGAGGGAGTCGCTCTTGGGTGGCCCTCCCGACCACAGAGGGTTCCCATTACTCCAATGCTGGAGTATCATATGACCTCCTCTTGTGGGCATCTCCTCGCCTTGCATTACAACCAATAGCTGACTATCAGCATAGAAGGCTACTTTCCCAGGTAAATAGTCGATCCGATATTCGTGAAAGCCAAGTGTCGGGTTAAAAGTTAAGTTTACTCGTCGGTAGGTCCCTGTTTTGGTTGCGTCGTATCCGGCCATTTTCGATTGCCGAGACTGAACAACAAGGCTCAGTGGATAAACATTATTCGTATAATCGAACTGCGCTGAGAGAAACTCCATGTCAATCTCTTGGGTGTCGTTGAAATACTAAAGACGTCTGTCAGAGCTAGTCACCGCAATGATTGTAAGAGAAGTAGATACCCAAAAAAAGGCTGCACAAGTGCCTGGCACTTGTGGCAACTTCATCGATGCTCGGTATGATCCCCAGTGAAGATCCAGTCGAGATGAGTCGAGCTCAGCCGATAGAACTAAATTATCCTCGATTGTACTGCTCACACGCAATGCAACTCCGGCGTCATTTGCATTCCCATCTATGCTGCCGCCCGAGGCTGGCCTTGCTTCGACGTTGCTAGGTTTGAATGACTTGCCAAAGCCGCCACGGCCATCTTCGGCAGAGACATTAAATCCTTGCCTTATCCAATCAGTATTTCCCGACAGGTCGTGTATATCACTAAAGTCCGTTTCAAGCGCTTCGGTGAACATCCATTCTTCACCATGATGTGTCGAATTCCTGGCCCGGTAGCCGCACTCGCAGTCAGCTGTAACAAGAGCGATGGTGGCCAAGCCTGAAAGAAGACGAAAGAGATACATGAATGCAGGTTCAGAACAATCTAGCCCCTTCGTTCTCACAGCGGTAGTATCGGCCTAAAATTCAAATGGCGAGCTTTGCGGCTGTGGGCATGAAGTTGTGGACGTGACTTAATTGTCCTCGCCACGACTTAACACCCACTGTCCAGGTTGAGGGGCTACTGTAGGTAGGTACGGCCCTACGCACCTGCAGACGCAAAGATCGAGGGCAGCGTGCGGAATGGAAGGTGCGAAACCCCATCTATGGATAGGGAGGCTACTACCCAGGGGAGGTAGGCAGGCGGAGAAGTGCATCTCTGGCCGTGGACTGAGAAGAAGCAGATGACCAGTGACAATCATGGTAAGTCAACGTGACCTCATTTGTGAAAGCATTGCTCATGAGTAACACCTGGCGCGAGTAACACCTAGGGCCATTGGGCAAGCTGGTCTCACAACTTGAGCGCTGCCTGGCGCAACATACAGTGGTCAATATCTTGGTAGGTAGAACACGCAGACAAACGCCCAAGCACTTTACATGATACAAAGTGTCCGTGTCTTAGGTTGGCTAGTGGCGGCAGAGAAGGTTTTATCATTAATAAGACCAATACTAACATATATCTAGGTATACACGAGGAATAGACCAGCCTCTTTCCACAAAGGTTGCGTCCGGGTCGCCTCTTCTCAATATAATCAACATTCGCTCAAGGAAAAGAAACATGGAACAATGAAAAGCAAGGAAATATGGTCAAACAACAAAGGAAACCAAGATGGAATGAACGCGCAATCGATGCTGAGATGAAACGCAAAGTTGTATATCGAACAAGGTATCTGGAAAACAACCAAAAGCAATAGCAGTAGAACTGGGCCCTGACCTCAGTGTGTGTATGTATCCTTGGCGGAAAGGATTGTTGCCGCCGCATCGTTATTAAAGAAAAGTTAACAATTGCCCAGGATTCGCCCCGGCCAGGGGACAATTGAAATGAAAAAGGTGAACGTCTCTTTTATGGGCCAGCCCATCATTCATCCTGGCATGGAACACCACAGCCAGCACCATCATCATCATACTCAGCACTTTTGTCTGAGATTCAATGATGAAAGGGGAATTCCAACTCCCCACTCCAACCAGAGTCGTTCCTGGGCCGCTCTTCCAGGTAAAATTAGAGAAAATAGCATATTGGACAAAATCAAGAGCTATAAAGAGCAAAACGAAACGTGACAGCATGCCAACCGCTCTGCCTCGGATGCCATGAAGGAAATGAGATGAGACCATGAGAGTAAAAGAAAAACGAAACAATTCCAACTCCTTGTCGATCTCCGCGCCAAGATAAAGAAAAACAAGAGAAACCAATGGCCAGAAAACAAACACGATAAGGCGCAAGCGACTAAGGAGAATGACAGGCTGTGAGAAAAAAATAAGCCTCAGAGATACCGAAAATGACAATCAACGATCAAGCAAAACAAAGGAAAGAAAAAAAGGAAAAACTAAGACGGTGATGCCGGGCAACCTAGGGCCTCCGGCGACGCAAGGAAATCAGGTCATTTCAGTCATTGAGGTTTAGTACACGCTGTCCTCGTCCCCTCCTTGAGAAGTCATAGAAGGGGTTGAGACGTTCGAGGAAGCCTCAGGATCATCAACATAGCCAATGAGAGCCTGCGAGTGGAGCTTGAAAGAGTCACCCATCAAACGAGTAATTCTAGAATACAGTTAGCAATCAGTAATGGAGATGGGAAATCCAAGATCTATACGTACCCCCAAACTACCACTTCTTCTAACATGGAAGCCCATAGACGAGCCACAGTTGACGAAAGCTGGGGCATATAGCCCTCTTCCAATTCATTCGCAAACAGCTGACGGATCTTGTTGTACATGAACAGCTCCTCTGGCGTTGCTGGCTCCTCGTCATGTTCCAGGCGATAGAGCCAGAGCGTGAGGATAATCATGAGATCAAATCCGCAGAGGGGGTGCTCGACACTCCAGTTGGTAGGCGAAGTACGAGCAACCCATCGAACGCCTTGGACAACAGCAATTTCAAGACAATTGTAGCACTCCTGAATCACTTTGAGCATCTCGCTCGAACGCTTTACGCGATCGCGAGCATGAGACATCATGGCAGCCACTTCATAAGGTTCATGGTAACGAAGAGCTTCTTGAACTGTCTTGAGATCCACCTCGAGCCTGGCACGAGCGTTCCGGTAGAGGGCCTTCGCATTGAAAATCAGGGGGTGTCCCTTGTGAGGCGCACTGAGCGGGACGGGAACAGACTCAGGTTCGCAGAGTTCGAGTGATTTTTCCCAGGTCTCCAATGCAAGTCTTAGCTTGTACTCAGTGACCACGTCTTGGAGGGCTTCTGGGCTGCGCTTGTGATACCAAACTTCCAAGAATAGCGCATTGATCATGACGCGAGTCGAGAAAGCGCTATACCGGACAGTCTCACCCTGGAACAATTTGTCATGCGAATCCATAAAAGTAGCTTCACGAGATGCCTTGAGGTAATCAGCCCAAGTTGCCTCATCCGCCACTTGGAGGTTCCACATAGCCTCAGTTGAAGGCAGCTGCAAGTCCTCAAATTCGTTGAAGCCCATGGCCGGAGTGTGATTGTACGATAGCGTGAGCAGTCCAAAAAAGATGTAGACTGCATAATACGTACGACGACAACCTTCGTCCTCAACCCACTCGGCTCGGCTTGGTCTGGCGCCCCCTCGAGCGTCCTGTCGAAGCTTCAGCTCATATTGATTGCCAGCTACCATGTTGGCGAGCAGACTCTTAATCGAACAAGCCCACTCCAGGCCCTTGGGGTCGCCACTCCACGATGTGAACATCATGTTCAAGAGGGTACCTTGCATCGTCCACAGAGGGCATTTGCGGGAACTGAAATTCTCCTTGTTGTGCAGGAATTGGCTCACCAAAAGCTTAGACCCGATGTGAAGCATGTAGGCCTGGTCCTGGTCAAAGGCATAGAGTGCACCAATACTCAAGACAGCTAGCAGTAGAGGTGGCGACACCTTGGAAGGCTTGAAGGAAGCAGGGTGCAAGAAGGGCAAGTGATGGTGGAATAAACCGAAATAAGTTGACAAGTATCGATTTATCGACCCCAGCCCAGGCAGTCTAAAGCTAGCAGGGATAGCATGTTCCGTGTCGCAGTTGCGGATGTTGTCAAGAATTGCATTTCGTTCCTCGTCGTTGGCAACCTGAGGAGCAGTGAATCCGGCGTGAGAAGCATCCGCCAGGGGGGGGAGAGGAACAGGCGTTTGAGCACCCGAGTTTGGAAGCGACCCAATCATGGATTGAAGTGCTGGGACAAGATTGTTGACATTCTGGCTAGCAATCGGTGGTAACTGGTTGGGGTTTGACTGAACATGCTTTGCCCCAGGGAGGGTTTGTTGGGATTCAAAAGAGGCACTTGACGTGATGGAATGCGCCTTGGGCTCAGTCACAGATTGGGGAATGAAGCCATCCCATTGTACCTGTGGCAGTGCGATAGCGCCATTTGGGTATGTCACAGCCGAGTCCATCACAGTCGAAGTGTGAGGCGAATAGACCATAGAAGAGTTGTCCTCAAACGAACTCTCCTCACCACGCATGGCGGCGGTCGCCTTGTGGTGGAGATCCGCAACAAGCATGGCAGCAGCCTCAACGTCAAATATCCCATCGTTACCGGCCTCCATCTGTTCTAGCGCCGAAGTATCCAGCGGGAGAGGCGATTTTGCAGGACCAACGTTGCGGGTCTTCGGACCGGCACGGCGTTTTCCATCGCTATGAAGAGGCTCACCTCCATCCTTGGCATGAACGGTACGATCATGGCGAAGGAGGAGATCACGGCGGACAAAGGTACTTCGGCATTTTAAGCACTTGAAAGGTCGCTCCTTTGTGTCTAGGTAAAAAAATGTTAGCATGCTACTCGACCAAATGTCAACGACGAAACTGAGGGTTTGAACTAAACATACGAGATCTCTCATGACGACTGCGATGTTCACTCCTGCTGAAAGCTCTGTGGCAGAACTGGCATTTGTACTTGCGTTCCGGTGCCAGGGGAGCTTTCCGCGAGGATTGCGTCGAGGCCGCTGGAGGCGGGAGAACGGAGACACTTGCGCCAGGCATGACGGTTGTGTTGTCGGTTGGACTTGGGGGGGTAGCTGATTGTTAAAAGAGCTAGAAGTTGCGCGGCAGGGCGGTGGTCTTATCCAGGTGGATGGAAACAGGTTGATTGGGTCGGCTCTTCTTGCTCCTTTTCGCGATGTTGAATGGCCCCTCGAGGGGTGAAGTGATGGCACTACTTCTTTCTCTTTTCTTTCTCCGTCTGCTATTCTCGTTCTCCTCTCCTAGCTCCTCGCTCGCACGCGCTCCCGTGGGCTTTAAAGTGTGGCTGCGGTTGACTTGATCGTGTAACTGGTCATTGGATGCGGTTGTATTCTAGTCATGGAATGATTGTGTTAAGAATAAAAGGGGGTCAGAGGGCTGAGGCGTCCGGTGGCCTCGATGGCAATGGATGTCGCAGGGACGTGTTGGGTGGTGATGATTAACGTGGTTGGGATGGAGGGGAATCAGGACGGGAAAGCTGAAAGTGCGAACTGGCGACAAGAAGTACAAGAGGAGGGGGCGGGAGGAGGGGGGGGGACCGGAGCATGGAATTCCAAACTGATAGCAGTACCAAGGCAAGGTACAGGTCTGTGGTCGGTGGGAATTAGTGGGCACTGGGACCGCACCGGAGAGGGGAATCAACCCAAGGACGAAGGGGGGGAGGGGCCAACACCTGTGACCTGGCTTGCCTGGGTGCTCGCAAGAGGGGCGCGTGGACGGGAGGTGGATGGGCACCTCCTGGGCCATGGAGAGGGAGGACCTCCTCACCTTCTTTTTGCTTACATAGTAACACCAAGTTAGGAGGGAATGGCATTGGGAATGGACTGGTGGGAGTGGGTGGACTGGGTGGGGTGGGCTTGGAGGGATGAATGCGATGGCGTGGGGAGGGGGTGGCTGAGAAAGCGCGTACCTCAGTGGCGGGCTGGCCAGCGGAAGGGTACATGGTAAGCCCGGATGGATCCCGCTGGCCTAAGAGGTCTCATGTGGCCGTGTCTGGGCGCCGAGACCAGTGGCTGCCCCATCTGTTGGTAGCGGTAGGTCGCCAGGTTATGCGGGCACTGTGCCTCGCAGGAGAACGCCAGAGGCCAGTGCTCGATGCTCGCCCTGTTTTCTGGTCGCAATGCAGCTGCATAGTGCCGACAGCAAAAGAGGGTACCTACCAAATAGTGCTTGCTTAACAGCCCTGTGCCAGTAAGTCAGCGGGGCAAGCAACTGTGAAGTGGGGTATCCCTCACACAAGGAACCGACCTTGTTAATATAAGAGGGGTGTCGCCTGGAACGTTTTTGCTGGCACCTCTCACACAGTGCTCGTTGTCACCGACAACTGGGTGCACAGACAGATCGAGTGTACCTCTCCCACCGAAAAAGTGTGGCTGGGTACTTGGTCTTTCGTGTCGCGCAAAAGCTGTTCAGGAGAACCCAGCAAGCCCGTCGAGTCATTAAGCGCGATCAGGGAGATTAGCACACTGTGCGCGTCTCCTCTAAGACCACCTGGGCGAGGGGCCTCGTACAGCCCGAGATGAAATACTCTCCTGCCTCGTCGACTAGTGTCAGTCATATATTTTATGAAAAATGATTTCTGTCGTGGCAAGACAACTGGTGGCACTTCTGAGCCCCTCTGTCATCAGTCAGGTGCCTCAGCCAGGGGAGGGCTTGCTGGCTGGGGCTGCTACTCTAATGCGCCGGGCTGCCTGCAAGTCGGCCCTCAAATGACTTCGTGCATGCAGAATGATGGGATATCTCTGCATAAAGCTACAATGGTCATCTACGGGTTCCTCAAATACGGGGGGGTTCGAGAAGTGTCAGGGTGGGCACTTGGTCTCCCATTGCTACGGTTACTGCCTGATAATGCTTCTTAGCTCCCTTGTTTAGCACCCTCATTGTTCGCGATTCAAAAATAAAATAATTTACGGGGGCACCTCCCGTAGATCAGAAGTCGCGAGTCATCGTCCATCACTACGGCCGATTACCGCTGCAGTACTAATCACGTCGAGGCCGGATTAGAGCGCCGCGACCGCCTCTACAGAAAACACGGCGAAGGAGCCACTCCCTGCATCCTTTGTTCCACCAAGGAACCTCACTTAGCGACGGGATGAATCTCCTTCCGTTCCGGCGCGCACTGTGGTTGAGTATGTCCTAGGGCATGTTTGAACAGTTTGGGGCCTTTTATCGGCACTGAGCATTTCCCAGTCCTGGAACAGTCTAATTTCTTAGCCAATTTCTCTGAATTCCCAGACCAGTCCGTCCGTGTCATCCATGTCTTACCAGCCTCTTGGGCGGTATTTAGACAGCTGGCAATTCTTACCGGGCGGCATCCGAGCCACTCGATGACTCGAAATGAGATTTCTTTTTATATTTGGCTTCAATCCAAGCCCAGATACACACTCGATCGCGGATATTACTGATGGGGCTATAAGCTGGTGACAGGACGCTCCCGCCCAGGGGTCACTCAGCTCTGCACTCCACGCAGGGCTCTAACCCCAAGACCTTCCGGTGGTCACGCACTTGACTGAGCCTTTATGGCCTTGAGAATCAGACGGGGCGCTTCGAGAAGTCGTACTTGACCGACTGAGCAGGTCGCTAAACAATTGCTTGCATCAGTAGCGTATCTTGTCTCCTGGACAGTGGGCACCGGGATAATACTCTGGCGGTGTCGAAATCACATCCGATATGCGGTGAGAGCTCACGGAACAGGGAAGGTTTAATCTCCAAATCTGTTGGAACTGATCTGTTCGCCGTGATCCTGGGACGTCATCCTTAGTATTAATAGTTCAGTCATTGATTCAGCGAACAAGGCCCGCGCGCAAGAGACACGTCAATGCCAATAGCCCTGGAATGGCTATGGGGGCGCTCAAGCGTTTACCGCTCCGTACCTGACTCCTATATCATCGAGCTTCTAATTACTAGTATAGCTTCGGCTGTATTGCGAACTGGCAACTCAGTCATAAAGGAATGGCCGTGTAATAGTCATCGCTCGATGTACAACTCCGTGTCCATCCATCTGTGCATACATCGATCTATTACTAAACCACTTCAGGCAGGGTGCGAGCCATATGAACGGCTACATGTTGCCCCTGTCGCACCTACACCTACTATTAGCTATCCGGAGCGCAGGTCCACCGCGCACGCGCCCCAAGTCAGGGGATGACCCTTGCATGTAGCGGAATCGAACATGGACATGAATTTACAGCTGGGGTCGTTAGATTTATGTTTAAGAAAAATTCGAGGCGGAGAGATCAAACACGGGCGACTCCGATTCCTGACCGCTGTTATCAGAGACGAAAACGGCGTCCGATTTCAGCAAGTCAGTAAGAGAGAGAGAAACGGTCACGGCCTGGGTACCTAGACATTCGCTTGCGTGCATATTCCGCTTCTTCTTTCTTTTTTAACTTCCATTGCAACATTAGCACAGCTTGCTTTTCGGAGACAGACCCACAAGAATACGCGAATGACCTACTGAGGGTGGCCGCCTTTCCCTTTCCCTACCATGTCTTATTCTCCCCTTCTCTCCCATCTTTCCTCTCATTCTCCCTACGTGTGTGTGTCGCTTCCATCTCGAGCAAACTGATCGCATTTCTATGGAGCATGGATGGAAGTTTATCATCCCTTGACAGAACACTTCGGCTGGAGCGCGTGGGTCCGCGGCCACGTCCCGGCGGCGGACCATGAAGGGTTACTAAAGTAGGCAAGCCCTTACTAACCCATTTCGTATTGACCTGAAGGTGGGCGTATGGAGCAATAACGCAGGTTGGAGGTAATTAAGAGAGCTGATACGGGACGAAGTTCTTCCTCCCTTCAATTCCAGGCACCAACTAGGAGCCGCCTCTCGTCCGTGATCCAAGGCACACAGGGTAACCATCAATTTGCGACGAAGTTGACCGAGCACAATGTAAGAGGAAGCCAAGTTGCCCAATTGTGCGAGTTTGATTCTCACCAGCCACAACAAAAGTGATTTTCTAAAGCCGCAGCACGTGAGAACCACATTCATTCCAACGCAGTGCTGTTTGCTCAGCTACCATGAGGGCATGCTCATTGATGCATCAAATGCTCTAGTGCCCTGATATGTCCAAATATCACCACAATCTCCGCCCCTCATGTGCTAGAGCAGCCCCTGAAGGCGGCCACCAGAAATCGCAACAAGGCCTGACCGCTAAAAGAACGAATGGCACTCGCTGTCAACCATGAGCCAGAAGAAACCCGTTGTTGCGCCATGGATGTTCGCCGTAGCACGTTTGGGCCCCTGACCGGATTGGGTCAGATCCTTGTGGGCTGATGCTCAGCTAGGTAAATTGTGCAACCCTTCCAATTGCTTGCGAGAGCAAGCTGCTGAAACCATTACTCGCACAACGACTCCTTGACAAGGAAACCTTATGGGCAATAGGGGGAGCAAAATTGTCTTCGTCGAGATGCTGAAACTCCAAACCACTAGGCATGTGTTGCAGATGGCATGGGGGAAGGGAACGATTGCGATCCTCTGCTGTACGTCGTATTAGACGGGTAGCGCAAGGTCAGGCAAAATGCCAGGCTGGGCGAGGGCGAAGTCCCCTAAAGCTACCTTTTGCCAACATATCCGCCGATGGACTAGGTAGGTTAGGTAGGTCGTAGATGTAACGGAACTTACCTACCTACCTAGGTACCTAAGCTTTTGCCTTTGGCAGAACGATCCTTCAACCGGTCACTAAGGCGCCTCTCGAAAAGCCCTACTGTTTAGTACCCAGCAGATACCTTGAGCTGATAGATGGGGTAACAACGCCTAGCGCCCCTCCAGGTACCACCACAGTAGCGAATGATAGCGCCAACCACTCGTAGGAGCCGCCCACCTTTGTCAAACCCCTCGCACCTCCCCCCTCTTACTTTCTCTCGATGTAGCCTTACTTTACTACACCTTCTCTTGTTCCCACGACGCAACCCAGGCCTTCTGGAAATGGTTCATCCCGGTTGAAATCGCATTAATCAAGGGGTTTCCGCTAGGCATATACGTGTGCGGTGACAGCACCCGCACCGATCTTCCTCTATTCTTACGCCAACCTCGCATCATTCCCCATTCATGAACAAACCCAGCATGTCCTAAGAGTGGCTTTATCTGCGACACGCACGTCCCCATCACCTTCACCCCTCCAACACAGTCCAACGATTTCAACGATAGACGACGACCGTAACGACCGTAACGACGAGTATCAATAAGACGGCCAAGTCGAGCCACCCGAAGCCTTCTTCTCGGCCAATCCCGTGTATATCGCTTGGACATCCAACCCCCTAGTGCCATGAATGGCATCGTGGGGACAACGCCTCCCGGCGCTATGTACGTCCGCGCACTGTACGACTATGAAGCCGATGACAGAACCAGCCTGAGCTTCCATGAAGGAGATGTGATCCAAGTCATCACGCAGCTCGAGAGTGGATGGTGGGACGGTGTTATAAATGGCGTTCGTGGCTGGTTTCCAAGTAACTACTGTCAAATCATCACGAGCCCTGATGATCTCCCCGACCTGACTCAGAATGGCCGCCTCGAGCATCTGGAGGAGGAGGCCGAAACCGATATGTACGATGATGCCCTGGACCAGGACGATGCGGTGGAGCGAGATGGTCCCAACGGCGTACCTCTGGATAGCCTCGACACCGGCGGTCGATCCAGGGCGGACTTCTGGATCCCCCAGGCCACACCGGACGGCCGACTCTTTTACTATAACATGATGACGGGCGATCGCAGCATGGAACTTCCTCTTGAATCTCCAGTGTCGAATAATGAGACAGGGCCGCGGGACCGTATGAATGTCACCGTACCTGAAAGGACTCGGCCGCCTCCGGAGATGATGGCTAGGGGTTTGACTCAGGATGAGGACTACGATTCAGCTACCTCAGCATCAGAGACCGAGGGCGGCGTTAATGGGATTAGATCCCGCTTTCAAAGAGTATGTATTAAACGTGCCTATGTTCCTCTGCTTCTTTGCTAAAACAGTAACAGGGACAGAGGCGAACCTCACTAAGTGGCGCACTGTCCCCCTCTGCATCGATGGATTCCATCAACGGTACCTCCACAGATGGTAATAGGCGAAACGATGCATTGCAGGTGGGACAGACACCCAACATTGCATCCGCAACTTCCTTCACAAGCACAACTTACAACTTGCCAACAACGACCGCTGTCCCTAAATCATTTTTCGACGACGGATCAACGCCACCACTCACCTGGAGTCTCCTTGTCGCCAACATGAGGGCTTCAATAGATCGGTACCGTGAGGCAATCACCAATAACGAACGTTCTAATTACGTCGCAAGAGCAGAAGACATATCGGACCATCTGAGGCTTCTCTTAGCTGCAGGCTCAGGCACCACTGACAATCATTCTGGCCAGCCATCCATCATATCCACCAACAAAGCCCTTTATCCTCATTTCAGGGATATGATGTCTAAATTTTCCAAGCTCGTTATCTCTTCTCACATTGCCGCCGCCGATTGGCCCAACGCAGAGTCTATACAAAAATGTTTGCAGGAAGCCGAGGGCGTCCTCCTAGGCGTGTATAGTTACGTTGAGGTTGCAAAACAACAACGAGGCGAGGAAATACCACGTCTATTCCCTGGCTTCGTCATTGGCAGTAGTGCCGGAGGTAGTTGGCAGAACAACGGACTTGGGCCTCAGGATCCCATTACCGCCAACTTCCTAGAAGACGACGACGGTTTTACCGAACCAACGGCTATATTGGACAGCAAACTTCTCGAAAGACTGGATGAGCAGAAGCGGATGCTGGTCTCTAGCATTCGTGAACTGGACAAGAACCTCGTTATCCCCGAGAAAATAGTGAGCGCCACGCGTCATGAATTCATTGGAAATAGTGTTTGCTTCTGCGGTGGCAAAGTAGTGGAGGCTTTCAAACCTTGGATCGCTATTATTGAAACTATAGACCTTTCATCCCTGGGCAATAGTTTCCAGACCCCTCAGCTGGCTGACTTTAGCACCAATAAACAAAGTCTATACGATAATATCGCAGATCTTGTTCTCAGCTGCCAAGCGGTCGCCGGACCCTTGGCTGACGAGTGGTCCGAGATCAAGGGGGAATCTTTAGAGAAAAGACTGGAATATGTTCGGCAGTGTGCTCGGGCCCTGGAAACCAACTCGTCTCATGTTGGCTTCTCTTTGCAGTTACTCTCGGAGCAGGTACAGAATGATATGCAAAACAAGCATGATCCTCGGCCATGGGAAGATCATCCTCGCGCCCACTTACAAAGAGGCGACACGATGCCACCCGAGCGATCTCACCAACGGTCAAACTCGCGCTCGGCGGGCCCACGACCTCCCCTCATAACAGCTCAGTCCTTTACAGAGGGTGACGCCCCTCCAGGTAACTGGAGGAAAGGAGACTATTCCAAGGTCGCGAAAATTCTTGGTGAAGATCCATCCCCACAGGCCGGCATGCCTTCAGCTGAAGAGATTCCGGATTTCCTACGCTTGGATTACGAACATGAGGTTTCATGGGAAACCAAAACATCTTCTGCCACAGTTAAAGGAGGTTCCCTGCTTGGTCTTGTGGAGCAGCTCACTCGTCACGACAAGCTGGACTCGAGCTTCAACAACACTTTCCTTCTGACGTACCGCTCTTTCACCACTGCTCGCGAGCTATTTGAATTGTTAGTGAAACGTTTTGGAATCCAGCCTCCGCCTGGCTTAAGCCAGTCTGACTTCGATTTGTGGAGAGATCGAAAACAAAAACTGATTCGCTTTCGTGTTGTAAATATTCTTAAGAGTTGGTTTGACAATTTCTGGATGGAGGAGTTCAACGAGGAGTCGAAACAGCTTATCCGAGACGTAAGCAGTTTCGCCAGCGACACTGTGAAGTCAACCGAAACCCCAGGATCTGCACCACTCATTGCGGTTCTTACTCAACGACTCAGCGGCAAGGAGCCAATCCAACGGAAGGGTATGATCCAGACGTTGAATCAGAACACGCCGACACCTATCATACCCAAAAATATGAAAAAACTCAAGTTCCTCGACATTGATGTAACTGAGTTTGCTCGTCAGTTAACCATCATTGAATCTAGGCTGTATGGCAAGATCAAGCCAGCAGAATGCCTCAACAAAACGTGGCAGAAGAAGGTTCCAGAGGGTGAACCTGACCTTGCCCCTAACGTCAAGGCACTCATTTTACACTCAAATCAAATGACGAATTGGGTTGCAGAAATGATATTGGCTCAAATGGACGCCCGAAAGCGTGTGGTTGTGATCAAGCATTTTGTCTCTGTTGCTGATGTGAGTTTCAGATTGAAAAACAAGTGCTCGTGAATTCGCTAATACGATGTTTAGAAATGTCGGGGTATGAACAACTTCTCAACCCTCACATCAATTATCTCTGCACTGGGTACAGCGCCAATTTCACGCCTCAAAAGAACTTGGGATCAAGTTCCCCAGCGTACACAGGCTATCTTGGAAAACATGCGCAGAGTGATGGGTAGTACGAAGAATTTTGGAGAGTACAGAGAACAACTCCACAATGCTAATCCTCCATGCGTGCCCTTCTTCGGTAGGAATCCGGCCCTCGTCATTGAGATGTTGCTTCATGCTAATCAATCCTAGGTGTCTACTTGACGGATCTTACCTTTATTGAGGACGGTATTCCTTCAATCATCAAAAAGACGAACCTAATCAACTTTGCCAAGCGAGCCAAGACCGCAGAAGTGATTCGCGACATCCAACAATACCAGAACGTAGGATACTCACTCCAGCCGGTTCCAGAACTACAGGACTATATTTTGAGCAACATGCAAGCTGCTGGAGACGTGCATGAGATGTACGATAAGAGTTTGCAAGTGGAACCACGTGAACGAGAGGATGAGAAGATTGTCAGGTATGAAATTATCCGCCCACTCCATTCCATTGCATTTCCTTTGGGTTCTCTAGACCGCCTATGGTTTGACCATAACCTCTCACGGTTACAAAAGCAATACTAATCATATTCTTTGTTGTATAGGGTCTTGGCTGAATCAGGGTTCCTGTAAGCTGGCATCAACAATTGCCAGCAAAGTAAACATCTTCTTGATACGCAATTACACGGTGTGTATTGAGTATTCCTCCAATAACTCTCGGCATTTGATGCTGTGTTGTATTATTCACCTGAAATCGTTGCTGGTGGTGGGCACCCATGGAACGAAATTTTTTCCCAGGCCTGCGTTTGGATTTCCAGAGCAACACGAATATCTTTGTGTACGTGCACGCAATATTTTTATGCAAATTCGCATCTTACGGAGTTCGTATGTCGAAGCATCGGCAACATCGTCATCAATTTCTTCTTGGATATTGTTCTGCTTTCCACGGGAAGAGAAGATTCAGCGGATGAGTCTAGGCTCATTCAACGAGGGACTATATATACCTTACATTAAACAATAAAGCAAGGGAAGCCTACCCAGGAATTGGATGGTGGTATAAAACTTTGGGCACTGCTCATGCATACCCTTAAAAGCACTCAACACCCTCCGCCTTGAGCTCTACTCAACAGGAAGTCTCAGAGGAGTTGAGTCTTCCTACAAGGCTTCATGAATAGTACCTTTTTGGGCGGGTATGGGCAGGTATGTTAAATTATCTGGGCTCTAGTGGGAGGTCACAATAGTATCTTGATGATTCGCCAAAGGGGGTTTTGGAGCTTGTTTGTATTTAGGCACATTCTGGAGGCTTTAGTTACGATCAATGAGGAAACGGACGTATATCACGGATTTATGGCAATTTGAGGCTCGAATTTTTTTTCTCGTGCGATGTTCATTGCATGGAAACATCAACCACAATACCAGTTCAAGTCAATCAGATCGGGTTTGTTCATCCTGCTGCCTGGGAGACGGGGGAGAGTTCGTCTCTGGTCGAACCATACCGAATACAACTCCATAGCCCTTATTAAAAATGGTGTTCGCCAATGACCCTGTTGTTACACTCTGCTCTTCCGACGCTAAACTAGAAATTGATCAAATCATCGTTCTCAAAAGCCAATCTCCTCAGTGCTTGTGGAGTTTCGCCTTGATTCGCTCGCCTAGGCTGGGTTTACTCTTCGATGAATGCTTCTCAGGGTGGTCAGAGTCGCCGTGGGTAGCGCCTTCCTTTCCGAGCAAGCCTGTCAAAAACAGTCAGTATTCCGGTCTTCGTCCAGGTGAATCAGTAAACAGGAGGAGCATCCCCGGCAGACTTTGCGCGAAGATTGAGTTTTCTTAACTTACGGTCAGCCTCTTTACCAGCACCAGGCTTGGTGGCATCAAAATCCCCCCCTTCGGCGGCGAAACCGGTGCTCTTAACATATTCCTGAACAGGAGCTTTACTTCCAGCATCGGACGTCTCGTCGGGCGTTACCTTGGCTGCTTCGTCGGCCTTTTCCTTGGATGTTTTGTCATCATCAATACGACCAGCATCACCTTGGTGTTCTTTAGCCAGTACAGGTAGTGGTCTGGGGCCCGGACCCTTTGGGGATGGGGGGCCGGACTCGTCGAGGTCTTTATCGGATTCGGGGGTCTTCTCAGCTACCTCCTTTCCCTTTGAGGTCTTTTCGATTTGCTCTTTTCCCTCGGTGATCTTTTCATCTGCCTCCTGCCGCTCGACGGGACCGCCACTCGAAGGGTGAGTTGTGACCGCAGCGGTTTCACTTGGCTTGAGATCGCTATCGCCGAGCTCCAGACGTTTTTCAACCTGTTGCTGGCCAGGGGTCTCTGATCAAGCAAATATATGAGCGAGTGAAGCTTCAAGGCTGGGGTTTGTATACCTACCTAGGTTGCCGGCGTCATAGGGTTCGCCTTGGGTAACATCTCCTTTTGCGCCGGAAATGGGTTCCTTGCTAGTATTGCCTTCACCCAGAATAGCCTTTGCAGCAGCAGAGGCTACGTTGTTGATAGTCTCCATGATGGTTGTATAAGAATGATGTATAGGTTGTATAGATGCTCGTTGTACGTAGGCCGAGATGAAGGAGTTCGAAATCGGTCGGGGCAGTTACAATGAGAAGAATGGTCGTAAGCGTGTGTCTGCTTGACTACAATGATCACGAAGTGCAACGGTCTATATAAATCTTATTTGAATTGAGGGCACGCAGGAACTACGAGTGGCGATGACCTATACAAAGCATGACGGGCAAGGGTATTGACGTCGTTGGTGCATGGTATGTGTAATGGTTGGCACACGAGAGTGGCGTGCACCTAACGGGATGGGTGGAGCTACGGCCCTACGAGTAACCAACTTCTTGGACATCAAATTGTCCTAGAGGCGTGTGTTGGCTCCCGTTATGGCAAAGAGCAGAACCTTGAGCATCGCAAGTTGCCGAAATGCACGGGCTAGGGCGGGATGGAGCACGATGCTAGACATGTTGGGCTGGAGGGATGACGTCCATGAACAAGATCGCTCCCCGATATAGCTATCTACTGCAGTAGACAATTAAAGGATTCTTACTTGCCTTGGTAGAGACAAGGGCATACGTATGTCTAGTGCAAGCTTGGTTGGACGCAGAGAAGGCAGTTTATCCAGGGCGGCCGTCCGAGATCGTCGCCGCCTGACGTCATCCAGACTAGCCCACCGTCACAAAAATCCCATTCGCGATTTGTGATGATGCGTAACCTCCTATTATTCCACATGTGACCTGGAAGGTGTATGTGCGCCCTCGCTTGCGATGAATCGAGACATTGTGATAAGGACCAACTTGACTTGATGGCGCACCTATCTCGAGTTGAGCAAGGTTGAGAGCAAGACGCAGTTGTTATGAAGGCACGTGGAGAGAGCTCAACACCAGTGGCTAAGCTACTTCGAATTTAAGTGGCATGCTAATCTCTAAATTTTCCTGTACTTCTGGCATAATACTTCATTGAAACAGTATATCCCAAGCAAAACGGCAATGAACTGACAATCGCATAACAACTGGTTGTAGGCTACCGGAGTGGCATAGGGTAGGTTGTTGGAATAGAGGGGGCATACAAATGGGGACGGCGCACTAGTTTGACTTACTGTAAAGTAACGAGTCATATTGCGCTCTGTCTCGTTCATTTATCTTCACATGTGTTGATCTGTGTCGGAATAAAAAAAAGATGAGAGGGACTTGGCGTGTCATGCACCATGGATGTTACTAGATTGGCCCGCCTCGTGTTGCAGAGGCTTCAATTCGAGCTTGGGGAGAGAGTGGCGCTCGCTTTAGCAAGGAAGAGCCTGGCCACAGCGACAACAATTTCAAGCGAGTGGGTATTACCAAATACATGGACTCGTATGGCCGCCGCTAGTGGCCGACCAGTACCAATAGCTGGTTCCAGGCAATTTCAATCCAATGTCGTGCTACCTGCGTGTACGTATGAGGTAGCCGCAAGCCTCCAGCAATCAATCTATCCAGTTCTGGGTTAAAAGCTAACATTGGGTCCTCGAGCATTACAATAGCACTTACCTAACCTATACCCGGGCATGCAAGGTACCGGCGGTTTGACGGGTAGTAATGGATCTAAGAATAGGGGCTGTCTACCTCCTCTTGAGGTGCTGTCCGCTCATTGCATGCTCATTAGAAGCTTGACACGAATCACAATTCGCTCCCGCCAGTCCCTAAGCGAGCACCTGTCAGCTCGGCCTGCAACGACTGGAGAAGGTCGGAGGGATGACTGTGTAGGTATACTTCGATTTTCGCGCATGATGTACCTCGGCTGCGAATTTAATTCTGGTCTTGCAGAGCGATGGCTTGGCAAGGATTCGTATTCTAACTATCGCGAGTCTGGGAGCAGAACTGCCTTAATAAAGGATGGTTTGGACGGATGCCAGGGGAGAGATATACATATTTATTAATTATATGTAGGCTCTAATATAGACGGTTGGGTACCCAAAGGTACCTGTTTACCACCGCCAGACGGATAAGCGCCCAAGTACTTACAGTGTACCATGCACCTGGTCTGCCTGGGTGCTGCCACTGGACCACTAAGCTCGCGCCGCCTACGCGGACTGACACCTTGCGTCCACTCCTCCACCCCAATTCATCATCGCAGGCTTCCCCCGAAGTCGTCGAACTAGACAAAGCCGATCCAGGCTTGCCCGTCTAACAACAGCAGCATCATCATGAACGGGGACCTGAGCCTCTCTCAGGCCCTAGGTGGGCTTCGTATAGCCAACCCTGATGATGTCGCCGCACAGCCATCACCTCTCCCCTCGGATACGAGTCAGCCCACAGCCACAGCCCCTGCAACTTCATCAGGACCTCCCCCAACGACCGAGCCAGTAGCCTTGACGACGACGACGACGACGACAGCGGCAACAAGCACGGCTACCACGGATCCCAATCATAGGGACTCCGCAGCAAGGCCAGCGCAACATGAGGAGCCCGGCTTCCTCGCCGTATCTTCTGAACCTCCTTCACTTCCCGATTTCTCAAGGTCATCAACCTATGATCTGTCACCAATGATTGAATCTACTACCACAGTCTCAACAGCCGCATCTACAGCTCCGTCGTACCCTTCTCGTGAACCCAGTCAAAGAGACACCCAGTGGTCTTATAACTCCTCAAGACAAGCTGCCATATCTTCAAGCAATCCGCCGGTAAGGAGAAGTTCACGGGCAATGGGCGGTGGTCACACTCAAAGCCAAACGGGCGCCCACGCTCCCTATGCGGGAGATGCACCGATCCCCTCGACTAGTGAAGAGTGGCAGGAACGGGGTGCTGCCGTGGGAGTTCGCCGGGAAACGGACGCATCTGGTCGCACTGTTGTTAGACAAGTAAAGAAAGGTGTTCGCGATTTTTCCTTCGGCCGTATTCTGGGCGAGGGATCCTATAGTTCAGTCTACCTAGCCACGGATAGGCAGACACTTAAGGAATACGCCATCAAAGTACTTGAGAAACGACACATTATTAAGGAGAAAAAGATCAAGTACGTCAATATCGAAAAGGATACACTCAATCGTCTGACGGAGCACCCCGGCATTGTTCGACTTTATTATACGTTCCAAGACCAGAATTCTCTATACTATGTTTTGGATCTTTGCAGCGGTGGTGAGCTTCTTGGTGTTTTGAAGAAGACGGGCACCTTTGATGTCGAGTGCACACGGTTCTACAGCGCCCAAATCCTTGATGCCATAAGCTATATGCACTCCCGCGGTGTCATACATCGAGATCTCAAGCCAGAGAATGTGCTTCTGGATGACCAGATGAATATCAAAATTACCGATTTCGGGACCGCAAAGCTGCTTCAGGATCCCCGGGAAGCTCGAAGGCAAATGGAGAGGGGTATATTAGATCCCAGCAGGGGAGATGAGGATGATGATGGACGCGCAGCGTCTTTCGTCGGAACAGCCGAGTATGTCAGTCCGGAACTACTCACTCATAAGAATGCCTGCAAGGCTAGTGACTTGTGGGCTTTTGGGTGCATAGTATATCAACTCCTTGTTGGAAGGCCACCTTTCAAAGCGGGGAGTGAGTACTTGACGTTTCAGAAGATTGTCCATCTCGAGTATGAGTTCCCTCAGGGATTCCCATTAGCGGCTCGTGATCTGGTCGAGCGATTACTGGTGTTGGACCCTTCCAGAAGATTGACCATTGAGCACATAAAAAATCACGAATTCTTCGACGGCCAAGCTTTCGGCAAAACATTATGGCGAACGAAAGCTCCCAGGCTCCGGCCATACGTTCCGACTGTACCAGAGCCCACCGTGATTCAGTTGAACGGAGGTCATTCTGCGGTCCCTCCACCCATCTCGCAGTCACGAAGCGCTCCCTCAAATCAGGCAAACATGGCTAACGGGGCTGGCCGTCCTGCACGCTTGATTACAGAATTACCTCCCCCCACCCAGCTTGATATTGAGTGGTCTCCAGTCCTAACAAAGAACAATGAACGTATATTGCGTTTGGGTGACTTATTAGTTGTCTCAACTCCATTACCAAATGGCTCGAACGGCAAGGGCTCCGAAGATGGGCACAAAAAGCTTTCTCGATTTTTCGGAGGCAGCACAACTAAGAAGCGGCAACGATTGGTCATGATCACCTCTAGTGGTAGAGTGTTACTGGCACCTGCCGGAGGCGAGGAGAAGCGTGCGAAAACAGAGCTATCATTGTTGGCCTCGGATTGTACGTGGAAAACCCAAACAGACGCCAAGGGGCAGCTTGTCTGGTGCGTTGATACGGTATGTTTTGCAATAGAATAGTTTCTCGGATTCGAACGACTTGGACTAACATTGAAACCAGGGCGGCTATCATTATACTTTTGAGGACACCAAGAATTCTTCTCAAATAGATACATCTCGCCCCTCGGCTGAAGAATGGGTTGAATGCCTAGAGCGGGCAAAAGATTTGGCTGTCGCTCAAAGTATGAATTCTTATGGCGAGGGTGGCCTGGCAGATCTATCTTCTACCATGTCGAGTCCGTCAAGTACGATCGGCGGAGGCCGAGCCAACAACTCACATGAAATGATTGGGGCGACGGACCGATCTTCACGCAGCCATGTGTCTAAGGGCCAAGGCAACATGGATGAAGTGAGCCCGGCACCCAAAAGAAACCGTTTCAGCAAGAGGCAGTCCCGCAACGGACTCGATTCTGCCTTCTGAGTCTACCGGAGGCATATCAATTCTACTACTAGCAAAATTGCTTCTAATCCGAGAAGTGCTAAAGGCATCACCTCCATCCTAGATTTTATATTTCAAAGTTCGGTGCGTCATTTTGCATTAGTAGCGAGGCGCACTTCTGAGGAGTTTCAATTCTCTCATGGGACGCGGGGCCCGTTCCCTACTTGCATTTTCCCTTTATTATTCTGCATGTTCCAAGGATGGCATGACTACAAAAATACATTTCCTTTCTTAAAGGGGTGTGAAGGCGATAGGTTGGAGGTTTGGGCGAAGAAAAGGGCTTATCACCGCTTCAGTCGAGGGTCGGAGCGAGCGCTACTCTCTTCATTTGGGTTTATCTCCTCGTTGCTCATCGTGTTGTCTTGAGTCAGGAATGAACTGTAGCATTCAGCGAATGTATAAATCAGAGTACAAATATACGCGTGGATAGTTACAATTGGAACGAGTTGGCCGTTGGGTTTACAGGCATGGAGCCGTAGGATTTGTGCGGGTATGGATATATCCAAATGTAATAGCTGAGTTGGGCCGCCCTCCCCAACAGAGACAAATAAAATAAGGAAATGGAAGCACGAGACCAACAAATATAAACATTCCATGTAAATTGGAGGCTTGGAAGATACCTCTTCGCGAGTGTATGACACTTGTGGTTGGAGCTTGGAGGCAATCACGTGACCGTAAGAATTGGGCGCGGAAAGTCGCGACACGGTCAAGGGTCGTTTCTGAGCTTCAGGTCTCCAGCGTGAAAGCCAAGCCAGCCAAATCGCACACATCACCGACCCATTGCTGTGCCATCGCCATCAAAATGCAGCCCCAATACCGCGCTTACGCGCAACAGCAGGTTCCCCAGCGCTCGCCTCATGCGCCAAATCAGCGCCGTGGTGGCATTGGTACGTGTAGTTCCGCGATGCCTTTCTCCGACGCACCCATTCTCTTCATCAGCCCGAAGCAGCGCACTTTCGAATTGGTTGATCGATACTAATTTGTATATTCAGGCCCAATGATGTCCTCAGGACCTCACCCGCAAGTTCCCCTTACCCAGGCGCAGATCGCACACCAGCAACAGGCGCAGGCGCAGGCCAGCGAACTCGCGAAACGTCGAAGTCGAAAGCCCACCGATAAAAATCTTCCAGATGGAGTCGAGGATAGCATCGTGAACCCCGAGGCAGTCCAAAGATATAAGGATCTCAGAGATGTTGAGCGACGCCTGGATGCCACCCTGACACGCAAGCGGCTCGACGTCGTTGATAGCGTCAACCACAGCTCAAAAGTTCGACTTTGGACCCTCCCGATACTCTGTGACTCTCTGCTAACTCTATTATTCAGATCTATCAGACCTTGCGAATCTGGGTCAGCAACACTGTTGAAGATCAGGTGTGGCAAAGCAATGGACTCAACGTCGATGCATTTGATTTCACCCCCAACATGGAAGCTTCATTCCGCGTCAAAATCAGAGCTGCGCTGCTCGATAACCAAGAGTACGAAGAAAAAGGTGGCGACAAGGTTGAAGAGAAAGTTGAAAAGACCGAGGGTGAAGAAGCTACCACGTCCGACTCGAAGGCCGACGCACCTAAAGATGCTCCCTATCGATTCTCGCACTTTTTCAAATCGATCACTGTTGACTTTGACTCGTCGCGATTCCGCAATGGCGCCGAGCAGATTGTTGAATGGAAGAAGCCCGAAACCGGAGCCAGGAATCAGGGTCCAGTTGGAACATCTCCCACCCCGGAATTCGATGAATTTTCTTTCAAGAGAAATGGAGACGAGAATATGAATATCACGATCAAGCTCTACCGTCACGAGATACCTGAGCGTTACCAGCTTAGCCCTGAGCTTGCTGAGGTGGTGGACATGACAGAGGCAACTCAGCAGGAGGCTGTCATGGGCCTATGGGAATACGTCAGAATGTCCGGTCTGCAGGAAGATGAAGAGAAGAGGAACTTCCGCTGCGACGATTTATTGAAGAAGGTATGTTGGATCGAGCCAAGTTTGCATGGTATTTTCGGCCCACTAACTTTTGGTTAGGTTGTGAAGCGAGGAGATGTTGGGTATATTCCTTTGTTGAACGAATATGTTACACAACATCTTAACCCTCTCCCTCCCGTTTCTCTTCAGTATACGATCCGGGTTGATGAGGAGTTCCACAAAAACCCCCAGCCCACAATTTATGATGTCCAAGTTCTGGTCGACAATCCGTTGAGAGCAACCCTGCAACCTTGGCTAAGCAACCCCCAGTTTGCTAGCATGCTCAAAGAAACGACTGCCTTGGATGATCAGCTGGCCAAGATTGTGCAAGCGGTCTCGGTTTCGAAAGCCAAGCACACATTCTTCACATCGTTGAGCAAGGACCCAGCCAATTTTGTCAGAAATTGGCTTAGTTCTCAAAAGCGCGACCTTGACATTGTCTTGGGCGAGTCAACAAGAAGCGGTGTCGACAGTGTTAATGGAGATGAATGGAGACGAGGTGGAAGTGATAGTATTTGGGCCACTCAAAATGCCAAGGAGAGCGTCAACGTGATGTTGTCAGCTCAGCGCTGATATTCGCTGCATACTTTAGACAATCGAACACTAGATGCTTGAAAACCTCGGGTTCGGAGGTTTGTGGGAACTCAGCTTCTCTCTGGGGCGTCTTGGTTACGTATGGGGCGTTGGTTATTGGAATTAAGTTGGTTTGGTCTGTACGTTATACCACCGAGGGACTGCAAATTATTGTTCATTGAATCTCGAATAATGGGGGCATGATGCATATATGTGATGGCACATTGATACAAGATTAGTCCAGCGTTCTTAAGTAGCTGCGCGTGTGAAAATGATCTTGAAATTGAGTGTGATTGTACGCCATGCAATCTATCTGTGCAACTTCGCCCAATAACCCCCGGACGCCCCGACTTAAATCACCCAAATGAATAATGACAATGAAGAGAAGAATGTGGCGCTAGCCACAATGATGCAGACATGAAATGTTGATGTAGTACGGGAAGAGACACATGAGGCCGAGCGTTTATGTCGCCGCTGATGTTGATATTGCTGTCAAGTAGGAATAGGTGGGCTTATCTTTGTGGAGGAACAGGGGTAGCAGGCATATTGCGGATTTGCTTTATCAGGAACTCCCTCTCGTCGATGAATTGCTCATCGTCGGTCCGATCCTCAAGAAAATGCGATAAGAAATTCAGGAGCTTGTCTCGGTTCATGAGAAGGATTTTCTGGACGGCAATGGACTTGTGTGGGTTGGCCACAAATACTTTGAAAACGTGGAATCCCTCATACTGCACCATCTTCCTATCATCGCGCAGCAGGTTCATGCAAATCTTCAGATGCTCACCCCGGTCTACATAGGCCGTCATGACGCTGTAGTTTGACCGGTCAAGGAGAATCTCCCCAAGAAGCTTGATCGACTGTCTCTTGGTGACATAACTGTTTGATTGGACCAGAATGTTGTTGTACTTTTCGAAAAAGAGGTCGAAATTTACTGACAAATATCTGGGTACCAGCTCCTTGTGTCGTGTTAAAAGTTCCTGTGTATACATGGTTAGCCAAAGCGGTTCTGCGTTTGCGTTTGTTCCCAACTCACTCTAAAGGTGGTGAATGCGTCTGCGGCGACTTCGAACGAGCTCTTGTCCACCCAGTCAAAAAATCTCCAGAACACACCCCTGCCACTCTGTGGTCGGTCCCGATCGATAGCATTGAGTCCCTTGGAAGAAGATCCGGGTGCGTCCCCGTCGTCGTACAGAATTATGGCAGCAGCAGCCTCGTTCTTAAGCAACTCCCGCAACACGGACCCAGCTGGGGTGGCACTTTCTTTGTGATCGTACGCTCGGCATAATTCGACGAGTACCTGCGGACGATTGCAGACAACGTAGGATAGGGCAATAGGATCGCTCTTTGGCGCGGCGGCAGCTGGTCGGAATCGGAAAACGTATGAGAAGATAACCTGGGTATCTTTTCGAGCTTCGAAGGGTAGTCGGTAGAGATTGACGGCTAACAAGTGCAGCAGGTCCTCGTCGATAAGACCAGTAACAAGCTGGTATGTTTGTTCGGGCGAGCTGTCGGCCTCTATATTGGATACGTCAGTCCATGTAGGCTACAGGAGGAGCTTGAGTTCTCGTACCTTGGGTTCCTTGCAGAACAAGTTTCATCTGACTGAGAACACGTGCGAGTTCCTCGGCCTAATGTGGACGATGCATGTAGTTAGCAACCATTTGTTGACGAAGGCACACCCAGAGTTTGCCTGGACCCGGGGGGATGGAAACCGTACCTTCGCCGCACCATTGGGACCGTCAAGCCTGGAAACATGTTCACGAGCTTGTCGTGGCAGATCAGCCGTAGGTCGTGACTTTGCCCTGCCAAACTGGAAGAATGACATCGTATGGGGTGACGGCGCAACTTAGAGCTGGGAGGATGGGTGATAAAAAAGGATGCAAATTCGGGTTGACGGCATAAAATACGTGCTTTCTTGTTTGATTGATTTCGACCGGGTATCTTGCTGCTGAAAATAGCTATGGAGAATGCAAAGGGCGTGAGAAAGGAGGCATTCTGTATTATCACTGTAGTTGTATTGAAGTCCTCCTATCAGACTATCGACCTAGCATGTTTGTTTCGTTGCCAGGGCGTTTCATTACGGCTGTTGGTCAGATGCAACCGATATGGCGGGGAACCAAAGTACTGCATACTTTGCACAGAGGTATAGGAAACTGCCCGGTACCTGATCACACCACTGTTGTTGCGGATCCAGAACGGGCTGGAAGGGACTTGGTTGTATTGAGATAAGACAGGACGGCGGAAACAATTACGGGAAGGTAGCGAGTACTTTGCACCCCACTTTTGGGCACCTGAGCTTCTGGAGCTGGTACGGAGGTACCTGACCCTGTTTGGAGTCCCTGGACCCCACCATGCTGATTGAATTTGAGTCACCCCTCCAGAAAAACTACCCCTCCATCTCGAGCATTGCCAACGTTGAGTCACCCAAGCATAGACACGACTCTGTATATTTTCAGTTGCTTGGGACCAGACTCTTGGTTTTTCTTCGAATATCGCGCCTTAAACCCGCAATCATCAGAGAGCGGATTCAATTTCGATTTGTTGACGCCACCGGCGGCTTTAGCGAGGCATCGCTTGCACCCCAGTAAATCCTCGTGGACTTGCGCTTAACGGAATCTGCCA